GTTTGCAATATGTTTGATACAAGGAGATAGTACTGTCATGTAGATTGATTGGTTGAAACCAATGAGATATGCTTGATATACTGTAAAGTGGTGGATGAATCTATTAGTACCTAAAACTGATGAATTAGCAAATATTGTTTAGTGGGAATACCAAGTTAGATGACCTGATTCATAGAGATAGCAAACTCTTATTCCATTGTAGATATGCATGAAAATTGAACCTGAAAAAAAGGCAGCACATCACAAGATCGATATTGAATGAACATGGTGTATTGTGGCTAACAGTTCAAATTTTTCAATTGTTTGCAACTCCTCTTGAGCTTGTCCTTGTTGTCATAGGATTGCTCCATCCACAAGCACTCCACCTTAGTGACCAAGAGGTAAGAATTAATCACCAACTATCACATCAAGCCAAAGAAATAAGGAAACCATGAGATTTATCATTTATCCTGCCCACAATTGCTTTGCACTAACTCCTCTTTGCTAGCTCAGGACAATGGTCTACTTGTGTCCAAAGAATCCTGTCTTGCAGGACACAAAGAACACAGTGAGGCACTACTGTACTGCAGTGGAAGTTTCACAGAAGAAGCATCAAGCTAAGGAAAGTAATCTTCCAGCCACCATGAACCTCCATGAAAAGTCTGTCTTTCACCCTTTGGAATTGCCCTTGGATGATCTGCATGCCCCACTCAGATAGCTGTCAATGAGACATTGCTTGTTTTCTGTTCAACAAGGTACCATGTGCACCTGGAGGATCTTCTTTGGAGCTCTTAAGCAGCTAGTAGTCCTTCTCTGAAGGCCAAATTGACAACAGTGCATGTGGTTGAAGATATGCTCCATCTTCTTGTCTACACTGTTGTTATCAGACACTATGTTATCATGCCATATGCCTGGACAGTTGAAGGTACAGATACAATTCTTTTCATCACCAGCAGGAGCAACAGCTAAGAATTGTCCAGTTTGTTGAGATCTGTAATGTAATCTTGAGGCCATCAGCTGCTGCCCATATGCACTGTTGTTCAAGTAAAGGATATTGTTTTGCAGTTGTTTGCACATAATCTTCGACTTCTTGTTCAGTTGGCAATCTGATTTGAGGGGCTGCTAATACATTGGTGGTACAAAAGTCAAGCTGATCGCTCTCAAAAAATGGTTCTAAGACTACAAGAAGGTTTATGAAGACAATCCTGTCTACACCACGACAGCAATTCAACAATGCCTGGTCACCACTTGACTCAAAGAGGAAGAGAAAGTAGACTGTTGGGCATACCTATTGAGCGCAATTCTTAGAGGAGTTCTTCTATCCCTAGCTAAAAAAAAGAAAGCTCTTTGTGCAAGAAGAGCCTGTTTTCATACTCCAACATTGCTTAGTGGGCCTCAGCAGCTAGAGCCACAAGTAGACAATTGTCTCAAGAGTCATGTTGCTGTTGACATTGAAGCTTGCTGCTGGTAAGATGAATGTGCTAGTATTGACAGAATAGCAAAATAGAACTAAATTGTTTGAGTGAAAATTTTGTGTTTCAGAATATGCCAGCAGAAGGGTGCTATGGCACTTCAATGACCATTTTTGTGATCAGATATTTGAATTCAAAATTCCTTACTACTCCTAATACTACACATATCACAAACCACTTTCCTGTCTGACTTGCACATGTTGTAGTCATTCCTCTAAGTCTAAGAAATCAATTGAAGTCTATGTTTAGACTCTACTAGACTAAGGGGAAAGCTTGTCAACAGTTGGGTGATTTCAGTGATCCATGTTGGGTATGATCCTTTTTTGGGTGGATATAGAAACAGGAGTTAAAATTGTATTGTAATATTACTAGTTCTACTAGAAGCACCGTTAGTAGTATTAGTGGGGGCCTAGATACGAAGTACTTCCTCTTTCCCCAAAAGACTGCACCCTGTGACTGTTTTTGCTGTCCACACAAAGAATGTCCCCTACTTACTTAACAGTTTTTGGAGTCTTTGGCAGTTGGATCCCATGAATGACTGTCTACAACTTCTTGTAGAATCAGTACCATAGATAAAAATGAACATGGGCGTGAATCAAATTTATTTATGCACATGAAGTCATACTACAGTGTTTTAAAAAGGGAAGCAAAATGTTGACAATGTTTTGGTGTACCTCTTTTGGACAAGAATGACCAATATAAGAAAGGCCAGCTCTTCTAAAGAAGAGAAGTATAGCCTCATAAATTGTCTACTCTTAGCTATTATGTGGAAGTAGTAGTACTAGTGTATCAAAATGACTGTTAGAACCCAACTGACGGCATTATCTTATTGATATGAAAAAATAAGCATGTTTGTACGACATCCAAATAGAATATAAAAATAATCATCCCAATTGCCCAAATATTGAGCTTATTCTACTATTAGAAAAGGTGTGTACGGCACAGTCTTTTGGGGAGAGAGGAAGTACTAGTACTAGGGTGGTAAGAGAAGGCAATGTGGGGCATACACATTTGATTATGCTACTACTACTACTAGTATCACTGCCACCATCAATGCTGACAAGACTACTATAATTCCACTACTACTACTAGTAGTAGTACTGGTGCTAGTAGTTATCACCACAACCACAACAATCTCCTTCATTACTGCTGATGTATCTGGACCCACTTCTATTTTTAACTGGTTTGGGCTGCTTTGCACCCCCAATTTGTTAAGTGAAAATTATAACCATACACATCATGTTTGTCAATTCCCAGCAAACAGGTTCACTATTATGTCCCTTGTTAAGAAATAGGAACCTCCATTTGTCCTCCTTTCTTCACCTCAATGACTGCTGGTGCTGGTGCTGAAGAGAAAATATGATTTGGTTGCAGCTTTGCTAGGTCAACTTATCCTAGTTTTCTTGTTCTAAATGTTTGGACAAGAAAATAAATAAGTTGTACTAGTAGTAGTAGTAGTAGTAGTTGAGTTTGAAGCTGGCCAGCAGCATGTCAACAACTCAATGTCACAAAGTACTAGTACTACTACTAGTAGTAGTTCTCCTTTTCCTTTTTTTTGTTAACATGATACAAGTTGGATTCTTTAACTTCTTTGTTATCACAAACCATCAGCAGTATGTTATGTTTGGTGAATTTCAATTTTGCAAACAGCAAGAATGATAAGAATTATCATTAGTACTATCTTCTGATTCACTGTCTTCACCAAGCAATACTAGTAGTGCTACTACTAGTACTACTAGTAGTATCTCACATAGCAGTTTATCTCTTCTTCCTCTGTTTTTGAAAGGGTTCTTTCTTTTTCTCCTCTATAGTAAGAAGAAGCAACAAGTAGTAGCTACTATAACACAAAAAGGTACATGGTGATAAGTATCACAGAATGTTTTGTTTATCAAGTGATCTGAGATTGGTGTTGACAGGAAGCCCACCAGCAGGGAAGCTCTAGTGCTGGAGGTCTGGAGCAGCAAGAAGAAGAAGAAGAAAGCAGAGTTTGCTGGTGATTGTGGCCAAATTTTGCATTAATTTTGGGAGTACTAATTTATGGCTGTTTATCTTGTATTCATTTGACAAAATGAGTTATTGAAATTAATGTGGAAAACTTGTCTGGGTAGTACTATTAGTAGTAGAAGTGCATCCAAAATAGCATTTTTTGAGTATTGCTGAGAAAGTTCTTACCAACAAAAAATATTCAAGCAGCAGGTATTACTCAGTACTACTGCTAGCAGCATGAAATGAAATTCCATTAGAATTCTTCAGTTTTTTGTTTTTGGGACCAAGGATGGAATCTTTGTTTTCATGTGTTGCATGTGGCCCTTTTATTGTTATGACCGCTGTCATGGTCGAGAACAGCACTTCACAGTACAGCACACCAGCTATTCACGGTGTCATTTTAGAGCAGCAGTTTTGGCATTAACTTAGAGTTCAGGTTAATCTTATTCACTATTTGATCTATCTTCATTCCGAATGAAATTCTATGAATAAATCAAAGTAGTCAAAGAAGAAGCAAAAGAAAATTGCTCTTTATTCACAGGGGCCTCTGGAACTAATGCACGCATATCCCCCCTTTGAAATCGAACATTGGGGGCATGATTTTGTGGGTTATTTTTCCCATGAAATAACCCACATTTTTAAAACATGGGTTCCTGGGTTAACCCACGCATAACCCACCATGAAGCAACCCACAAATAACCCACGAATAACCCACGAATAACCCACAAACCTGCTGGGCCTACTATTTTCAAAAATTAAAAACAGTGATTAAATAACGTTAATGACTGAAATACTTACTAACATCCTTAGTTCTCCATCAACCCAGATGACTGTAAATTTGTGGGTTATTTGTGGTTTATTCATGGGTTCCTGGGTTCTTTCGTGTTTTTTTTTTTCCATTTAATAACCCACATTTTCTAGGGGAGGAATTCGAAAAGGGGGATGCGCGAGTGGGTACTGGAGGGCCCAGGTAAATGAAAATTCGTAATCCAAATCCTTATTATTAGCCAATCAGATTGCTTGATTCTTATATTTTTCTCTAACTCTAAATTAACGCCAAAATCGTCGTAATATGACATTTTGGCCAATCTGAACAGCTTTGACAGAGTACGGTAGATCCTCCTAGAAAGTGTACTTGGAACCCATCTCCCCCTAATGTGTTCCTGCTCCTCTTGCGCCAACTGCTGCAGAATGAGTCAGCAGTTGGTCGAGGAATCAGAGGCCGATTAGTACCACGTTGCCACTTGAACACATTTTTTTGTTTAACGGTCCCAAAAGAACATACCAAAGAAACAAATGAATGCTGAAAAAAGAACGAGAAGAAGCCTCTATGCTATTGTACTTAATTTATGCGGATTTTGGATATATTATGTTTGGTGAAGCATTTAACGGGTGTACACAAGTATTAGTCATACTGAATATTGTACATAAAATATACGTAGGATGGACATTTCAGAAGAATCGATCTGGGCATTGATGAGCGAATATTGGACTCGACTTGGAACAACGTTTCTATTAATGTATAAAACTGCACGTGCTTTCAGTCTAACTGCATGTCACCGCCGTAAAAAAAAAGCGTGCTGTTTCTTCTCAAGGGTTTCGTCATCGTGGCACTATCGCGATTTGAGCCGATAAATCGGAAGAGCCTCCTCTTTAAAACACCTCACATCGCTCTGAAGGACATCGCTAACCATTACTTCCGACAAAAGTAATAGCAGTGAAGGACGTCTGCTTCTATCATCTGTTGTAGATGAGAAAAGGTACGATCCCATGATAGCCATGAATATAACTGTCAAGAAACGTAACGCTAGGGATATCGGGGTTGGTTGTTGTACTTCGCAGGAGGACATGCCGCTCAAGCAACGAAGGCTCAACCCGAAATCCCCGAGTTCATCGACCTCTTCAATATCATCGGTGAAAGCCTTTCGATTCATGATGATTCCTCGAATGATAACTTCTTCCCAAGAGTCATCTATACCCGTCCTTAGTCCCTGTACATACATGTCCATAGCCCTCAAGAACAAGAAGATAAAAACTCGTGTCGATTCCTTCAGCTTGGAACAAGCACTATATTTTGAACCCTACCAAGAAGCAGAGATCCATGTAGACCTTCTTAAGGCTCTTAGAGGAGCCGATTTGGAGAAACTACGGACTCTGAAAGACGAGAAAGAGAAAAACTACGATCTTGATGCTAGGAATCAGTTTGGGGAGAACCTGGTTCACTTAGCTTGCCGTATGGCGCTCAGCTTAGATGTGCTAAAGTTTCTAGTCGAAGAAACGAAGATACCAGTGAACGTGAGAGATCGTTTTGGAAGAACTCCTCTACATAATGCATGCATGTCAGCACTTCCGAACTTTGACAACATTGATTTTCTCATAAAGACGGCGCCCAAACTTGCTGTCTTCGAGGACGATAAAAATAAAATTCCTTTTGAGCTGATACCTCAACGAGTCTTCGAGCGCTGGATACGGTACTTCTCAGAGATGAATGTACTCAAGAAACTTACTACAGAGCTTGCAAAGCACGAAGGCCTTTCGAACAAGTGATCTACGTGACTCGGTCTGGTTTGAATGAATGATCAATCCAAGTTTATTTTGTCTTCATCAACCTATCAAGGTTTTACGAAATATACGAGATGAGAAAAGTGCCAATGGTATGGACAATATTACCACTGTGCCCCCTCCAAAAGACCGAGGTATTCAGCGATGCAATGTCACACGGCCCGCTATCATTGATTGCGTCGAATCGCGATCCCAAACATTTCACTCACCATGATTGAAGTGTGCAAGCGATGTAAGACTAGCATTGCACCATCTGAACTGCAAGACACGAAAGCTAACGGCTCGATCACTTATATTGTCTGATCAACACCTTTAGCCGATAGGGTTCACTTCAAAGAAACGGTGAACAAACCTCGCGTCTGCCGCATTAATAGCCAGCAAATCTGGTAGAATGCCCTCGAAGGCGGCTTACCGATGCCTCTCATAATCTACAATATAATAAAGATTTTTGAAGTACATTACAAAGAAGTATGTAGTAAGTTGCGTCTTTATTGCACCATTCCGGCTTTATTTTTGTGTTGCAGTTTGTTTTATCATTTTATTCGTAATTGATCTACAGCAATGGCCTTCATCGAGGTCTTGAGCTCCTTTCCTGTTTTCGAGGACGACGCACAAAAGGAACAAAGTAAGGACAATATGAATCGAAATGGAATGATAGAGAACGATTCGAACATACAGTGAGGCATTGTCCAATTAGAAAACATGAGAAGAGAAACAGACGTCAAAAGCTACGTGCAAACAAAATTTGGACAGATGCACGAGACCAAACAATATCTCACATGTTCGATTGAGAACACGGCATCGAAAGAGATCGGGTCGACTTTGTTGAACGAAATATTGTCGCCACTTTAACTCACCTAATTCTTGCGAGACGGCAGCCAATAGTTCACTTTCGTTCGCTGCTGATTGGGTGTATTTTTTCTTCATTCCGTCCACTACCTGATCAAACAATTCTTTGTCGATTCCAATTTCAAACATGGCGTTTCGTAACCGTTCTAGTACGGGGGCCGCCTCCGCACCTCCTGCAGATTGTGCCTTGTTGAAGTCGTCAATTGATTTCAATTTTTCCCCTTGCGCTTGTTCCCGCAAATCCATTCCTCCCAAAAAGAGTTTTCCATCATCTTTGACTTCCGAACATCTTCCAGTCATGCATCCTGGAATCATTTGAAATTCGTCCCAGTCTGAAGTTTTCATAGAGACGAGGAAATCGGATCAAAGTATACGTGAGGGAACGCAAGAGACGAAACATCAAATACATCGACATAAAACAATAGCTTCAATTCCAATGCTTGTGAAGAATCATCATTTACCATAAGCTTTCTTCTGGGGACAGCAAGCCCAATACTTGGCTGTTTCATGAAATACCGGAGGGAGCTTGTGGTATCTACATGCCGGGTAAGGTCCACCCTTCGGGAACCTGTTTTGGCAGCCAAAGTGAGTGCAAGTCACCGTGTTCTTGCGAAGCTCTTCCTGTTCCCTTTGTTCTGCTTTTTCTTCGGCTTCAACCTCTGCCTTGGTCCGACCCGCTCCGTGGCATATGTAAACATCTGATCGATCCGGAATGGTCTCGATCACAACGGCGTCGTTGCATACGGGGACCATTCTGGTTTCGGGGATCCCCGCCATGCTCCCATAAGCCTGCTCCTTCTTTTCGCGTATTGCCAGATGGATTTCCGACGCATCGAGCGGGTTTGTTTCCTGGAACTTCGCATTATACGACTCCGCAAACTGATTGAGTAGGTTCGTAACGGGGCCTGTCTTCCAGGATTTAGGAAGCGTTATTTTCAGGGCCTTGTGGAAGTCTTTGTTTTCGTTGTCTTCGTAATTCAAAAAGACCTTCATGTTGCTGTGACGACCCTGCAGATAGACGACTGGCAGGAAGGATGGATGGATGAGTAGAAAGATCGAGATCGGTAACTCCCTGGATTGGACTTCTAGTCACCTTCCGGATTGAAGAAAGATGACGAGGGACTTCGTTTTGGAGCAGAAATAGAAAATGAGTTTGTTGGCTAGTCACGTTTACCGTATTAGCACTACGGTAGTACAAGTTGCAACATTTTGATTATTTTGTGGATGATGCCTTCCAAAATGACAAAATGAATCGATGGTTTTTGTGGCAGATCCCTCTACGAAGTTCAAAGCGCTTCACCGTCGTATCATACAGAATAGAGGGTGATAAATAAATTTAGAGGGAATGCGCACGCAAGACGCTCGAAATTCAAATTTCCACACCTGGCATGAAGAGAAAAAAATACTTCCACTTTTTTTTTCTTTATTTTATGCCCAACACCACTCTGTATCAAAAATACTACTACCAATATAATTGTTTCTTCGTGCACCTGGATCAGTTTTCACAAGGATCGAGAATGAGCCATTTATCAGTATGAAATGGATTTTTGCTGTACCTTTTTACTTGATGTAGTAAGTTGGAAGGAAGTAGAAATAGTACCACTACCACTAGTATTAGTAGCAATACCAACAGAAAGAAAAAGAACCAATAAGAAGAACAAGAAGTGAAGAACACCAGCAAGAAGTTGCTCGTTAGCAGCTACAGCAATTTTCATGTTCCTAAGCCTTATGGTAATGTGGTCTAGTTGCAAGGGTTGGACACCGATTGGTGACTCGTTTTGACCAACAACAAGTTTTTGTTCTAACAGTTTTATTGTTGAATTGTTTCCGCCCGCAGGAACAGCATCAATTGATATCCGATAGTCCGTGCAACAGAGTGGTAACAAGGCAGTATAGTAGACGATTGTAACAGTCCTTCGCAATAGTGCTTTCGTAGAAACGATTGTATGCAATAATCATTGGACACCACTCGAAGAAAAGTGGGAGCATAGTACTTTCTGCACCCAAACACGAGAAACGCAGCACTCGCAAATCTCGGCGAACGCGACAGCAGCAGGCGGTTAGAGCGAGTCGTCGTCGTCGTCGTCGTCTTCGCTGCTGCTCTCTTGGATTCGGAGGGCCCTCTTTCTCCCGGAGGAGGGAGGGCCGGCGGCAGCGACGGAAGGGGTCGCCGGTTTGCGCCGCACGAGCCGCTTGCGCGAGGGGGTCTTGGTGCGGCCATCGGTGCTTCCGAGTCCCCCCGCCGCGGGGGGCGAGGGCCTCCGCTTTCGCTGGCTCTGCCGCTCCAGCATCCATTCGTCTTTCTCTTCCTCAATGGGAGAATAGTAGCCCCTGTAGTGGTTGTCGGTGTCGGCGTCGGCGTCGGCGTCCCCACTGTCGCTGGAGTCGTCCTTGTCCTCCTCCTTTTCGTCCTTGTGGTCCACGAGCTCCAGTTCCTCTTCCGTCCCATCGGAATCGTCGTCCTCTTCCGATTCGGCGTATTTCCGTTGGAGCTTGTGGACCAGATCGTTCTCGTCCGAGTCCTCCCCCATGGAGTGCATCAGCTGCCGGTGCAACAAGGCGCTCGGCCTTTCGTCGGTGCCTTCCCCTTCGCCGACGAACCCGCCGGCCCCGTCGTCGTCTTCCCGGGCGATAAAGTCCGTCATGTTCTCGTCGCTGCTCTTGAGAAAGGGATGCGACATGCGACTCCACAGCCGGGGGGCCGCTGCCGCAAAGGTCTCGTAGAATGCCCGGGCCTTGGTGGCATACTCGGAAACGGTGTCGTCGTCGTCGTTTTCGTCGTCGTCGTCGTCTTTGTCGAATTCGTTTTCGTACGCGACGCGCTCCATCAGGTCCAGCAGCTGGAGGAACATCTGGCTGTTCCCCTGGTACCAGTACACGAGCATGTGTCCGTGCAGGACCCGGCCCCTCTGCTTCCAAAGGTAGCGCTGCAGCAGCCCGTCCGGGGCCCGGACCTTGTAGCGCTTGTAGAGCTCGTTTCCCTCGAGGCCGCCCGTGTCTACGCCGTGTTCCTCGCGCAGGTGGCGCTTCACGTCCACCAGCTTTTTGAAACAAAACTGGGAGGCGATCGAGAGCTCCTCGTTGTCCAGGTGTCCCAGGACCGTCATGGGGTCGTAGACCGACTCGCTCGGGGTGGCCTCCTCGTCGTTGTCGTTGTCGTTGTCGTTGACATTGACACCGTTTCCATTGTTCTGGTCCTCCCTCCGGCTCTTGTCGTTGTCATCACCGCCGTCGTCGCCGTCACTTTTCGTGTCCGGGGGATTCACCATGTTCCGATGGATCTGTCCGTAGCAGAGGGGGCAGACGTAAATGTCTTGGCTTCCCATGCCCCTCTTGAAATAGTCCTTCACCCGGTCCCGAAATGCCGTAAAGGAATCGTAAATGGTTTCGGCACCCCTCCCGTCGCCGTCGCCGCCGCCGCCGTTGCCGTTGCAGGTGCCCCCGCGGTGGCGGTCCTTCTCCCGGTGTCGGTAGTACTCGCCGTGCAGGTCCAGGGCGCCCCGGCCAAACTTGGAGGCGATCTGGTCGACGAGGTCGTCCGACATGGTGGTCCGAAAGGCCGGCGGCTGCAAAAAATTCTGCCGCTCCCCGTCGACGTCGACCCGGAGCTCGAAGAGCTGTTCGCTCTGCAGGGCGATCTGCCGGAGGGTCTCGAGGGCAAAGCACTGCCGGGACCGGCCGTCCGGGGCAAGGTAGCAGACGTGGACCCTGGGCAGGGCCTCGCAGGTGATGGCGTCCTCGGTGGACGGGCACTCGGGGCACCGGTGGGAAAGCCTCCTCCTCCAGGATCGCCCTTCGGCCTCTCGGTCCGAAAAGGAGTCTCCGCTGTGAACGCCAAAGGGAACGCACGCGGTGCGGCGCGGGGAGGGCAGTATCTCGGTTCGGGTGGGTTTGGCGGCCGGCGCGGCCCCCGGCCGTGGGTGGTTGGGTGGTCGTTTGTCGTCGTTGTCGTTGTCGTCGTTGTCGTTGTCGTCGTTGCCCGAGTCGCTGTCGTCGTCGGCGGTGCCAATCGGATCGTGGTCGATGTTGGCAAAGGCCTTCGAAAGAGCACCGCGCGCGTCGTCTTCTTCGGACAGGTCGGCGTCCCCGATCGCCCCAATGTCGTCCTCCACGCAGGCACCGTCGTCCTCGTCGGTGTCGTTGCCCAGAGACTCGTTGCTTTCGTCTTCGTCTTCGTTTTCGTCCGAGTCCAAAACGAACTCCTCGTCCGAGGAATGCACGGCTCTTTTTCGCTTTACGGGTCTCCTGGCAGCCCGGGCCACCGCGGTCGTTTTCCGTCCGTAGGCTTTCCTGCCGCTCCTCCTTGTTTGCATCGGCGTGCCGGCTTCTCTGTTTTGCTCCTCGCTGCAATCGCTCACTTTGTCGTTGTCGTTGTCGTTGTCGTCTTGGCAACTACGCTCTTTGCTACCGTTGCTCTTGCCCTTGTGGGTGGCACCGCCGTCCGCACCATCGCTCTCGCTGTCCGTGTCCCCCAGCGTCCGCTTGTTCCGCGTCCGCCCCCGTGCCCCGGAACCACGAGAGCGGGGAGCCGGCAGCCCGGCCAGCACGTCGCCGCCGGCGTTTCCACCGGCCCGGCCGATCGATCCCCGGCTCCTCCTCCTCCTCCTAGTGCGGAGAGAAGGGGCGGCCGTGACCGGTGCGCCCGACTCCTCCCCGCTGCTCGAAGATTCCGGTGCTCTCTTGCCGATGCCGATGCCTTTGCCTTTGCGTTTGCCTTTGCCGATGCGATGGTCGTTGCCACCGCTCCACCGGTGGAGCCCGGAAGCGGCCCGGCGGGCCGGCTGCCGCCGCACGGGTTCCCCCTCGTTCCCGCTGCTGCCGTCGCTGCTGCTCCCGCAGGCGCTTCCGGCGGACGCCCGGTCTTCCCCACCGGAAGAAGAGGATCCCCCCGAATCTTCCCGTTCGATCGATGGATCTCGGTACAGAGTCGTCGTGCGGCGACGGCCGCTGGACCGCAGCGTTCGCGGCATGGTGTTCCGCGGCGCGATCCCTGGTTTGTGTGCGGTCTGGTTGGTTTCTCGGCTTACTGTATACTGTTGGGATGGATCCGGAGCGTATCGGGTCGAGTTTTGGGAGCTCCGAACAGGCACGGTGGGAGTGTTGGGAGTCTTGCGAGTGTTTGTTCTCGTGGATTGTGTTTGTTCTCTTGTTTGTTTCCGATCTTGTTCTTCTGGGAAATGCAACGGTACGAGCGCGTGCCGTACGTACCGGTTTGTACGGAGGCGAAGGAAGATTTTCACTATTACTGTATTGACAATTGACAACACACACACACAAACAACCGACGCGACGAGACGAAGACGGGTTTCTGCTTCCCGCCCGCGCCTCCCCGGAAATTCATTCGTGTGAGTCGACGTTGAGATTGAGATTGCGGTACGAGTACGTACGTACGAGGTACCGTACAGTGCGAGCACATCATCGTGACGGTTCCGCCCGATTCCGATTCGTAGAATACAACGTTCGCGTAGTACCAGTACCAGTTGGCGTGGCTCCAAAACCAAAAATACAAAATACTTCATCGGTGGATTCCAGGACCAAATACCGTACGTTGTTTTCTAAACATGTTGTAGTCTACCGTAGGTACACGAATCAAATTCTGATGGGTGGAAATTGGTCATTTAAATCAAACCAATTCTGATTAGCATCTATTTGCTCCAAAAGGGTCTAATTTCTTTTGTGAAGGAGGAAATGCCAGTACCGCAAACACTCATCCCAATGCGTAGTAACTACTAGTTCTGCAAACAAGAGATGCCATCTCTACCGGCACTGGATCAGTTTCAATTTATCTACTCTTCACATGCAGAAAGCAATCTTACTGGTTATGAATAGCAAGCAATTGCTCCAAAGCTTTCGTCCAGACAAACGAATCAATCGTTTGCCACCGCAACTCGTGAACCTTCGGGTATTGGAATGTTGAATCGTCTGGGTCAACTTCGTTTCAACGTGTTTGGTGCTTGTTGCATTCGGTACCAGCGTTGGGTTCACGGTCGTCTTCGTTCGGACCGTACAAACTCCTCTTTGGAAAATTCAGCACGTCCTCGAACCAGGGCTCGGAATACGTCAGGACGAGGTAGTTTCGGTTTCCGGCCGGGAATCTTCCGCCCGATCGATTGGCCCGCCCGCGGTGCAACACCCGGTAGTCCAGGAAGATCGCGTCCCCGAGGGCCAGCTCGGGCCACACGGGCGGTCGAAGGGTCTTGCGGCACCTCGCCGCCAGCATCATCGGGCCGAGGTTCCGCGTCAGGAACTGCGAGGAAGGTCTCAGCTCGGTCGGCCCCAGCTCCCTCGGCGTGTCTTGCAGGGGAAAGAACACGTTGAAAACGTGGCAGGGCAGGTGTTCCGAGACGCTCGCGTGCCCCCCATCGGCGTGCCAGGACTGGTCCGACGACCCATGGGTGGCGATCAAGAGAGAAAGGTGGCACAGCTTGAGTTCGTCATACCGGGTGTAGCCTGGTCCGACCAGGCGTGGCAGCAGGGATTTCATTGGCTCTACCAACCGTTGGAGGTTCTCGTCCAGTCGGTGCACGATCGATATTTCTTCGTTGCTATTCTTGTCCTCGTTGTGCTCCCGCAGGAATTGCAACAAACTGAGCTCGTATCTCCCCGGAGATCGCATCACAATTTCTCGAAAGCCATTGGACACCCCCTTTTGCAGGGTATATACGAAATTTCCTTGGTTTCTGCTAGTGTCGGTAACTTCGTCTCTGACACCCTGGCCCCCCGGCAGTGTCTCTCGATAGCGGTGCGAAGGTGTGGAAATGTGGCCGTGGTCATAGAGGTCTCGAAAGCATCGTTCAAAGTAGGAATCTGCAAAGTCACGAAAGGGCAGCAAAGCGTCCGAATCGAGAGATTGTCTCAGAACGAAAAACCCGTCGTTTGCAAAGGCTTCTGCGATTGTCTGCTCTTGCCGCTCCCGAACTTCTGCGTTGGCTAGCTCTGGTGTCGATTGCTGCGCAACATTTGCGATTCTTCTGGGTGTTAGGTGGAATGAGTGGGCTCCACTGTCGTCTTGATGCTCCATGTTTGGACGGTGTTTCACACTATCGTTGTCATCGGTGATGCCTCAGTTCGAAGTCACCTTATCGTACGACATTATCTTATCTACCGTACAGTGCGATGCTTGAAACAAAATCACTCGACCAAATCAATTTTTTTTTAATTTAAAGTTTTCTTTGTGCAGTACGTACGAGTACTTCCAGTTACGTACTTGTACTACGATACTATCGCATTGCATGCATGTCAATTGAAGAAAGATGCATGCCTCTCTAACTCTCACTGACTACGAGTACCGTACTCATACATGGCAGGTACTCGTACTATTATGGCGCCAGAAATAACAAGCATTTTCAGTCCTCTTGTAATTCGTAATAGCATACGGTATGTCGTCTGTCCATATATACGTACACGCGTGCTCTCCACCAACCAAACCCTACTTGCTACCGTAGGTGAATAGGAATTTTGCTTCGAAGACTCACCTTTGTCCGGACCATTCACGTTACGGTCGAAAGTCGGAAATCCATGCGAGTCTACGACAGGGAGCAACTTCACCAGCCTTCATCGTGTGGCGTTTCTGTAGATTTCTGTCTGCAACAATCTGCATCGAATAAATCTGACTTCTGAGCGGAACACCAAAGAATCTGCGAGTAACGGACCGACTTGTTCACGATGGCAAAGCAAAGCAAGAGGACCCGCAAATTCAATTCGAGCGGCGGAGTCAAAGGTCGTTTGCAGAAAGGCACGATCACGAACAAGGGGTCTCTGAAACGGAAGGGCAAAAAGAATGGGTCCAACAAATCCGAAGACAAGGCCAATGCAAAGAGGGCGCGCATGGACAATGCATCTGCGCAATACAAGGCGGAAATAGAGCAGAAAAGGGAGGAAGCCGACTTTGTGTCGAAAAAGAATCTCGGCGAATTGGACATGGATAGCTTTTTCCAGACATTCGACGATGACGACACGGATGATGTGGACAATGTTGAAGAAAAAATGATGGACGACGAGGACGACGACAGTGACGATGTAGATAGTATGGAGGAAAACGACGGCACCAAGTCACAGGGAAGTGACAGTGAAGACGAAGATCTGGAAGCAGCAGAACGTCTCATGAAAGAAGAAATGGCAAAGCTTCAAAATAAGGATCCCGAATTTCACCAATTCCTGCAGGAGAATGAAGATTCTCTTTTGGATTACGGGAATGATGATGCTCCGGACGATGATTCTGACGACGACGATGTCGCAGAGGAGGAGTCAGAAGAACTCGAGGAAAGAAAAAAAACTAAAGATGCCGACCCAAACGACTCGTCCATTCGATTGACTCCTGCACTTCTTGCAAAATACGAAAGAGGAGCATTCAAGTCCCACGGCGTAAAGGCATTGAGGAAGATTGTAAATGCTTACAAGTCCGCATGCCATATGATGGACGAAGAGAAACAGAAAGATGGAAGGGGAGGACAGCATTACAGTTTCGGCTCATCTGATGTTTTTGATCGTTTGATGGTTGTATCATTGACAAAATGCAAGGATGAATTCCATTATCACCTGCTAGGGGAAGGATCGAATGCAGGAGAGAAAAAAGAGGATTCCAAAAGGGCAAAGAAAACACGAGACGACGATGATAGTGACAGTGAAAATGAGGATGAGGACGACGAGGATATTTTCGATCCAGAAAAACCTATCAACCCGAAGATTTTGGAACGTGGTAAACGTTGGAATGATTTGAACCCAATTCTATACACATTTTTCAAAGCAACCGCGCACATTCTGACAGAGGCCAAAGAATCTCAACTTGTTGTTTTTGTCCTAAAGGCGCTGTTTGAGTACATTCCATACATGACTCCTTATCCGCGTCTGGCGGAAACCATGCTGAAAACGCTAACTTCACTCTGGAGTGCACCCATCGATTCATCGGAAGATTATCAAGTCGTTCGACTCCATGCTTTTCTTCGAATAAGGCAACTGGCGATGACCCAGCCTTTTCCATTTATTGAAGAATGCCTCAAGAAACTTTATTTGGCGTACGCTCAACGTGCCAAATTTGCTACAGCATCCTCGGTGACTTCGGCACTTCCTACTCTGACCTTTATGGGAAACTGCGTCGTAGAGCTCTACAGTCTCGATTATCACTCATCGTACCAACATGCCTTCATATATATACGCCAATTGGCCTTGCATTTGCGGACTGCAATGCAGAAAAAGACTCCCGAAGCAATGGGGGCTATATACTGCTGGCAATTTTTGCATTGTTTGAAGTTATGGGTGGCAGTCCTCACAGAAGCATGCCAATCGGACGACGATTCTGACGTTTTGGGCAGCAACGAGGACCAACTTCTTCGATCTTTGATTTTCCCTCTGACTCAAGTGATTTTGGGCACTGCAAGACTTATCCCATCCACGCGATATCTTCCTCTTCGTCTCCATTGCGTCCGTCTCTTGCAACAGTTGGCAGCCGCCGCTGAAATCTTCATTCCCACAACATCCATCTTGTTGGATGTTTTTGATTTGCATGAACTATCCCAGCCACCGAAAAAGGTTCACAAAAGCAACATCCAACCAATGGCTCTTACGCTCAGGCTTCGAGCTGACAATCCACTACGAAGCATGGAAGAGTTAGAAATGTGCCTTTCCGAAGTCTTTGTCCTATTGAATCGCGAAGTCGACCTTTACCGGTATTCCGCGGGATTTCCCGAATTTTCCGTCCGGATCTGTCAGAGACTCAGAAAGGTAAGTTTGTCCATCATGTTGTTATTTTTGTTTTATGTCAGTATCACTCCGTTTAAAAGACATCTTCCATCCCTCTCACACATCACCTTTTCCCCGCGTTTTTCTTTTCTGACTTTGGCGGCTTCCGAATAACTCATAAATAATATCAGTATTCGAAAGAAACTCGAAATGGACGCTGGCGTGCCTACGCAAAGGGGTGCATTGAGCTGTGCGAGCGCAACTCAACATACGTCATGAACGAACGAGCTAATGGCACGATCTTGACTGATATCGCTCCGAAAGACGTCAAGCAGCTTGAAGTTCTGAGACCGCAATCTGCACCCAGCATGGGACAACGATTTAAGCAATCTCTGGAGAAGGAAAAACGATTAGAAGCGGCAAGCAAACCAGTCCAAAGCAGAAAGACCAAAGAAAATGATGTTGCAAAGGGTACCAAGAAAAACAAGAACAAAGAATCTAAGAACACTAAAACAAAGAAGAAGCAAGTCAGAAAATCCGAAGTTGATGATGCGTTAGAGCACGGGAACACCTCTCTGAACGAAGAGGATGAAGTTGAAGAGGGCATCAATTGGTCGGATGAAGAAGAGTGAACAGAATCTATTCATTGAACGTTGAACAGTTCTTCGAGCAAAGATGCATTTCTTGGTGCACTTTTTTCGTCTTGAATAAAGTTTCTTCTTTACGAGAGAACAGAGAAATAACGATAAACACCCATCAGTTCGCTTTGTATTAACATACTATCTGACTAATTTTAATTCGTCGTTTCTGTGGCGGTTCATTCCGTTTCCCTTCGAAGCCAATTCCTATTTGACCTGGTGAAAAATTAGGTGACATTAAGCTGATTATCTCAAAAATTATTCTTGTCGGACAAGCCATACAAGAAAACTATTTCGTATTTTCATAGGTTGCATTTGCTGTTTTGGATCAGAGCACCAATATAGTTGGGAGAAATCCCGATATTCATAACCTAACATTTCACGTGGACCGTTCACAAAAGTTTGAACTAAACTTGCTACCTGTTTTGCACTAACCTACTGTACTTTCCCCAAGCTATATAATATTGACCTACACTCTTGCGAGTGCGAATAAATGTTCAACTTGCAGCAGCGGTTTTTTTGATTTCTTCAACAGCCGCAGCGGTCCTTTGTTGTAGGTTTGCTTGCATCTGTTGGACCTTTTTAGCGATGTCACCTCCCCGGTTTTCGAGTTCTTTGTTTTTGGCTTCTAGCCTGTTCTTCTCGCCGTTGATAAATTCCAATCGCTTTGCTACTGTTTCATTGGCATCATCCAGTGAATTTTTGATAAGGACGGGACCCACCATCTTGTAAATATTGGTTGAGGAGTCCAATAAGGCCAACTCTTGTTTCACCATTTCGTTCTCCGTCATTTGCTGCATGACCAGCTGGAGGTCGTTTCGTGTGCGCTGAAGCTCCTCTTGGACCTCTCTAAACGCGGCAATTTCTTCGTCGATTTCCGCGGCGCTCATCTTGGTACTATTTCTTTCAGCAATGATGATTCGTGGCTTGTGATGGATTCTTCTGCGGGAAACCAGTGGTTTTGTGGTATGGCTGTTGGATATTGCTCGTAACCGCGTGCGCCTAATTCGAAGGATGCCATGTGCTATCTGTACTTGCACCGAGTGGTACGAGCACGCATTTCTTGTGAAATATTTTTATCATTTTATTTTAGTAAGGTACGGTACGAATCGTTGAATAATACGTACGAGTTCGTACGAACCTACCTGTAAACAGGGGTCATAAATTTAGGACCCCTGCCTGTAAACTGGTGGGAGTTCAAACCCGTCATTCCCGATGAGCTTATTTCACGTACCGGTAGAGGTGCAAGCCACCATGACAGCTTGGACGAGTCCGAGAACTGCTCTTTTCGCAAAGAGTTCTACTGTAATTCTTTTCGTCGTACCATACCATACTCGTCTTCCGTTCCTCCCAGGATCGGGCAACAGGCAATCATTCCGTATGATAGAATTGATATTAACAATAACATAGTCGATAGGAACGCAGTTTCTAAGATGAGGTTGTCCGCTGACAATAACATGACAACATCGACTACTGATGCTAGTCACGCTAGAAGAACATACGATTCTTCATCGCTAACAAGCAAGAAGGTCATGATTGACGTTGCCTCATGGTGGTGCTATGTCATTCTGAACGGGGAAAACCTCCATTTGTACGACGAGTTCGAAAATATTCTAGAGTTGTCTGGGCCTATTCCCTTGAATTCAACGCTCCACGTCCGGCTTCGCTGCATCGCCATTTGGCAAGATCTCCTCAAAGAGCTGAATGCGCCCGGGAACGGCAGCGGGAAGCACCGGTTCGAATCAATTCAGGACAAGCTGATTTTGTTGCACAAGGATTCTTTTCCCAAGACACGGGCCAAGAAAGAATACAACGAAGTTTTAAGGATGCTGCAGACCCATAATGTCTTATCGAAGATGTACGAATATTTCAAGACGGTCAACAACCACGAGAAGACAAACAAGAGTGGAATATGGCACGAAACGAACAAAAACAACAACGAGGTGCTAGACCAATGCAACGCCGATTTCAAGAATTTATATCTCAGACTCGATGATGGAATGCCTACGTCGCTGCTGGATCTAGTAGACAAAAAGAACGGGTGGGATGCCTCAGATCGGATGGATCATATCACGCAGATCGCTTATTATGAGACGTCACCACTGACGCACGAAAAGCTAAAGAGCAATATACAATCTCTCTTGCTTCATTGGTTCGAGCACGAAATTTTCGACACGGATGACGAAACTGGCAAACCAATTGTTACCGAATTATTGGAAAAGCGATACCGTGGCATCGGCTTTGGAGGCACGAGTGGCAACGGCAACGAGAGAACCCCGAGTTCTCCAGTGGCTGTTCGCGATGCCGCCGCCGAACTGGTGGCGGATGTTTCTACCGATGTCTATCTTCCTACTGGGATTGGATCCCCGTCATCACGGCAACGTCGACAGCGAACAAAGACTCGAAGGGCGTCAATGTCTCCAGGAAACCGTCGACAAAATCCCAAAAAACAAAAAGCGCAATACCCCAAACAGAAACTCGATGTCTCCTTCGACACGAACGAGGACGAGGACGAAAACGGGTACAATCTTCTCAGTAACGATGAATATGAAGAACAACAGAACCGATTAAAAGCAAGGCACAAACGAAAAAAGAGGATACTTAGTATCGTGCGACGAAACATTTACGGTGTAACAACGATGTATAAAAGCGATGATGAAAATTGGTCCCAAGAACAAGACGATGCGCTCATACAAGGGATGAAGTGGAACGGATACGGAAATTGGAGCACCATTCTTAGCGAGCAAAAGGATCTTCTTGGTTCGAAAGGAGAAATAGAGCTGAGGAGCCGAGCCAACATTTTGCTAAAACGTCGATAAGGGCACATTTCTTAGGTTCTCGAATTGTGTTGTTTGTTTCTCTATCCTTTCTGATTTAAGGGTTGCAGATTGCACGGTACGAGAATCCTGTGTTTGATTGGTTGTGATCATCGTTTCAAGGATGTCATGGGGTGACATGAAGTCGCCTGATGTCGCAAATAGTTGCAAGGTCTGTAATCGTTGCTAAACAATGCGAAGACTCTTGCAAAACACACCCCATAGAGGAGTCATACACCACACCAAGCCAACACTCGAGGACTCCTGGCAACAAACACACCAATCAGTAGAGATGACAGGTGACTGAAAATGAATCTGTTTGCTGAAACATCTCGCCTTGTGTAAACATTCATAAAGTGAAGCGAAAGACTTAGCACACTACTTAACTACAGTACGTGGATACTGTACGTAATATTCTTATGTCATGGTTTCGTATCATAAGGAAGCGCAATGCGTAAGATTACTCGGCTAGGAAGATTTTCAACGAGAGAGACGGATGCGAACGTGTACCGATTGCAACGTCGAGGGCGTGGTCGGCTCCTGTTGCGGTGTCGTCGAATACACCCTAGGTTTTTCCGCCGATTTTCCCCACGGCATAGGCCATTACTTCGCACTCTCGTCCTTCGCGGCTTCGCTCCCCGTGCTGCTCGCGCCTCCCAGCAATTTCGACTTTGCCCTGCCGATCTTTTCCCGCAACTTGTTCTTTATTCTTATCAGTTTCGACTCGGGTTTCTTGTCCGGATACATCTTGTACTTGATCTTGTCGGGCGCCTTGCGCACCAAAAGCGTCACGATCGCACCGATGCAATAGGCGTAGACCGAGGACCCCACGGAAACGACATTGAACGGCATGGAGAGGTCCGGAACCGGCGGAAGGAGGAGCAATGCGTTCGAATAGACAACCGTTGGCGTGACCGGCGCGGAGCCGGCAACGAAAGGATCGCAGCGAACCGCGACGCGGGCGGGCGGGAGCACCCGGCCCCGGTTGGGATCCCCCGGGAAATCGTCGATGGTCAGGAACGACGGGGCGTATTCCAGTGACACGAAAATGTTTGGCGGCAGCGCCGACGGATCCGAGAGAGTGCCGGACGCTGCCTCCACGTACAAGACACTGCTCTGGTCCTCGTGGTTCCATTCTACGGACGCGTGCAACCGATCCGAATCGGTGTGCTGGTTGCCGTTGTATTGGTTTGCCCCGGTGCTTTCGCCGCTGACGACCTTCAGGGTCCGCCACATGGGAGCCAGAAAGTCGGGGAGAACCTGGCGATACGTCAATCGACAATGGTTGCCACCGCTCGACACGGCGTCGTCCAGTGGTTTTGTCTCGATCGAGCTCTCGAATCGTCCCCGGTTGGTGTGGTGCCTACGGAGAACCTGGTCTACGTTTACCTGGTACGCGAACTGTGGAGTTTCTTCGCTTGTCCCCTCGGAATGCGAGTCGCTGCTGGCTGTCATTGGCACCAGTCGGTAACCGCCGGTGTGTGCCTTTTCTTCTGTGGGGAGAACCTCGAAGGAAGCCCGCGTTCCGATCGGACACCGTGGCGTTTCTTCGCTCGCAAAGGCGTCGGGAAGCCAATCCGTGTCCTCGGCCGGGACCATGGTTTGGTATTGGATTCCAAAGGACAAGCCTAGGTTGGTAGCACCGTCGCTGTTCTCGCTGCCGTTCTTGGTGGAAGCCGTCCAGGTCCACCACATTATTTTGTTGAACGTCGGATGCTGCTGCGACGGCGTCTTTCCCGTTCCCAGTGCACCGCCCCCGCCTCGGTACCCGACGAGAAAATCGGACCACTCCTGGGCGGACCACCCGAAAAACCGGTCGTCGTCGCCGCCGCCGCCCGCCTTGCCTTTGCAAACCCCCGGCAGCGTCCTCCGGAAGGACTGCGCCAGGGCATCGCTGCTCCACGCGGCCGCGTCAAAGGGCATCACCAGCTGGTACAACCGCGGGGAAAGGGACGGAACCGCGCTCGCGCCGACGGAAGCGGGTCGTGCCGGCTGCTCCGCCGTGTCTAGAACGTCCCACACCCCGTCCGTTACGGGATTCACCAGGATCCTGCGGCGTATCAATTCTTCAAAGACGGCCTGGACGGCGTTTGCCTCTTCCTCGGGCTCCAATCCATCGAAGGTTCGGACCGAAAGGTAGAACCCCTGTGGTCCGCTACAATACCGATCGCTGCTGTCGGTGTTGTTGTTGGTGTCAGTGCTGGCGTCGTCCTTCCAGAGGGGCAGTACCGGCACGCCGTCGAGGCTGTTCGGGGTGTCCGGAAAGAGCTCCCGCGTCCCGTGGCTCGAAACGCTCATGTGAACCCGTGCGATCTTGCCCCCGTAGTGGGCGTGGAGGTCGCTCGTTGTCGGAGCGGGCGAGGCCGACAGGTTCATGTCGATGTCGGAAAAGGGATGGATCCACGATCCCTCCTCCCACTGCGCCAGCGATTCCAGTCGCACGCTGTGCGTCTGGGTTGCCGGCAACGGCGAAGCCGGTGTTCCCTGCCCGTCCGACGGAGAGGACCGGACCAGGAGCCGCTCTTCGAACGAGTAGGGCATCTCGGACCGCGGTTCCTTCTTCTTCTGTGCCTCCATGCTAGTTTCGGAAACCTTCTTTCAACAACCGGTTTGGTTTTTGGTCCTTCTTGTTGTTGGGGGATTGGATCCTTGTCAACAATCAGTGTCGAATGTCCTCCAAAGGGGTTTTGTCAGGGTTTGTTCAGAGTTTTCCCTTGCGAGTGCGAGCACAAAAATTTTCCTTTTTCTTCCTTACACGTATTACAGTATTACCATACCGTACGGTAGTACAGTCCGTAGGATGGCGCTTAGCTTGGAACGGCGATACCGGACGACTCGTGCGTACGTACAAGTACTACGTACGTACTGTACATCACCGGAGCACGTACAAGAAGCTAGGAGAAAATCGATGCCCTTTTCTTTTGAAACAGATTGAAACAGACAAAAAAAGGAACATTCAGTGCAAGCAAACAAAACCCGTGCCACACTTTTCAAAACCACACGGCGTCGTACTCGAGTCGGGCAAGTGCATCGAAAAAAAGAAAAAGCTAGCAGATCCCCCCACGGTAGCCGTCACAACACAATGGCATCCCTACTGCGGAGGCTTGCCCCGTTGGCGCCGAGGAAATCCTCGGTCTCGATGGCGACGGGCCGTTGCTGTTTCGGAAACACCGCTTTCGCCCCGTCGAAGGGTGCCGGCGCAGCGCCAATCCAGCTGCACACCGAATGGATCGCACCGACGGCTTCCAAGGACGAGAACGACACCGGTGGCGGTGGCGCACGCGAACAAGACGGGCACTACACCATGCTGTTCCTGCACGGTCTCCTGGGGTCCGGGAGGAACCTGAGATCCTTCGCCCGAAAGGTCGTCCGGCAGGAGTCGTCGGCCGGGGGATCGCTCTGCCACGGCGGGATTCTGGTGGACCTGCGCGGGCACGGCAGCACCTTTCGGGAGCAGCAGCGCCGGGAAAAGGACGGATCGGCCTGCGACGACGCCTCCACCTTTGGAGACTGCGCCCGAGACATCGAGCACACGCTCCGCGGCGGAAGCACTCCGAAGCATCCGGCAGAGGCACCTCCGGCCCGCGTGCTGGTCGGCCATTCCTTCGGTGGGAGGGTCGCGCTGGAGTACGCCGCGGGCCTCGCGGACACGGAGCCCCTGGGGGCACTCTGGCTGCTGGACACGGTTCCCGGCGAGGCCAACGAGAGCGTCGACCGTGTCCTGGCCACCATCACGAAGGTTCTGGGCGACGCGAACCGGGGCGGCAACCAAAAAGTGCCGACGAAAAAAGAAATCGTCTCGGTTCTCACCGGGCCGCCGCACGGCATGGACCTCCCCACGGCCCAGTGGCTCGCCATGTCGTACGACGAGGAATCGGGGGACAACTTTGGCTTTGACAACGATCTCGTCACCCGGTTGAAACCGGAATTCGAGCGACAGGATTTCCTCGGGTTGCTCCGGGGCGTGCTGCGGGCGGAGCGTCCCGGCACCGGGGCCGCGAGCAGGACCCAGGTGCACGTGGTGCGGGGGGGGAAGAACAGGGGGTGGACGGTGCCGATCCTCTCGGAACTGGAAAAGGTGAGGAAAGAATTCCCCGCAAACTTCCACCTGCACGTGCTGCCCTCCGCGGGGCACAACGTCCACATCGACGACACGGAGGGGCTGGTCCGGTTGTTTGCCGGGCGATGACGACGACGAGGCCGATGCGATGCGGTGCGACGCGATCCAATGCGAAACCGTTCACTAGACGGCGAAACAAAACACAACAGGGAAGGAATGATCGGTACCAGCACAGCAATTGCGAAAGAAAGATATAGACGACCTTCTCTAGACAACCATCTGTAGAATATTTCACGTAGGATGCTATTGCATTACACTAGTCAATTTGTTGTAACTAGTTTGGACTTTCGAGTACCGTAATTTCTGGTGTGTTGAGTCCAAAAAAGGTTATTTTTTATTTTCATGGTCTCGTCTCGAGGAAGGAATGCAAAAGCGATCCCAATAGTGAATAGTAGGGTCACGCGCAGTAGACGAAACCTTAGATCCACATTGGCTTTTTAGTTTGGACGGACGAACATGGAATGTCGAGCACCGCATTTACTGGTGTGTTGAATCGAAAAACGTTTTGTTCATAATCTAGTCTCAGAAACGTATTCCAAAGATGAAGAGGGTAAATTGAAGGCAGCCAACAACTTCTTCCTGGCGTTCATGCTGTGTAGACGAAACCTCAGATGGACATCTTTCTCGATTCAAGAAACAGCTGGAGTTCGTCGAAAATAATATTTTGAGATATCGATAATTTTGTTGCTAAGTACATAGTGTAGTGGTAGTGTATAATAAATAAGAAGTTTCCATCAAGTTTGAAGCATGTTCCTTATTTGCTGACGGCGTTGATGATTTCGTCATAGATGACCAAAACAAGTGCAGCACCGGTTCCACGAAGAACGTTAGCAAGGGCTCCCTTGAAGAATCCACCGGGTCCTTCCGTCTTGAGGATCTTTCCGAAGCAGTCGGCCATGCCGGTGTACATTTGTTCTCCCTTAGGCTTGGAGGCCTCGATTTGGAGACGACGTTGCATGGTGTCGAATGGGTAGGCGACAACTCCGGAGGTGGCGACGGCGACCTGGGCGACACAGAATTTGGAGGCAAGACCGATGGCGGTGAAATCCTTTTGGTAAGGGTTGAAGGCCTTGAGGATATCCTGGAGACCGAACTGGGCTCCACGGTAGACAACAATACCAACAGTGGAAGGTCCGATTCCGTTGTAAAGCGACGTGAAACCGTTGCCCTTGACGGTCTTCTTCAAGCAATCCCACATACCGTTGTACTTCTTCTCCTTTCCAAGATCGGCTCCGAGGACGGTTCGGACGTAGATAAGAGGGTAGACAATGGTGTTGGTGGCTCCTCCGGCGGCGGAACCAGAGGCAACCTGGGCAGCGGCGAACTTGGAGAATTCGGTGTTCTTGTCGTACTTGGGGAACATTCTCTTGATGGTGTCCTTGAAGGCCAAGTTGAAGGCGGCGGTAGGAACGTATCGGATGCAGTTAGCAAAGTTTCCACGCCACAAAGAGCTGGGTCCGAGTTCGGCGATGTGACGCTTGAAGGCATCTCCCATACCGGTGTATCGCTTCATTTCACCAGAAATGACACGAGGGTCAGAGTCCTGGTTCTGGATGGCGAGCTTAACCTTCTCCAAGGGGGCGGTGAGCGTCTTGGAGACGGCACCGGAGATACCTCCGGCAGCCAAGTTGATAAGAGGGTTTACTTGCTTTTCAGGCATGATGAACGTATTTGATTCTGAAAAATGAAAAACTTTCCAGGTGAGCACGTGTTCGTTTCAACGGTCATTACGACAAAAACCACGGCAGCGACAAACGACCAACTCTATTGAACGATGGCCGACAATCGGCCCCTCGACATCCAGACCACAAAGGAACTTCAATGGCATGGAAAGCCAAAGCAATCCAAAACGACAAGCACATCTGAACGTCGGATCGACTTTCCTCCACATCGCAATCGAAATTCCGAAAAAGGTTTTCGCAGCGAATTCGTCAAAGAAATCTTCGAGGCTTCCGATCGTCATCGCTATGCTTGTCGTTTCCTTCGAAATTTACTTTAATTGTAAAATTTCAAGCATTGACTTGATGAATCTTTCATTCATGTTCTCACCTTTCGTGCTAAAGTTTACAAATTCTACTCAACAGTTTCGACTGGCGAAGGTCAAAATTATGAATGAGAACGGAAACTGTATTTGCATTCGATGCGCAATGCTTGGTTGTGGAGCCTTTGCGTACGTACCGTTGCGTGCAGTCTCAATGACGATGAATTTGGAAAAAATCGATCGATCTATGCCAAAGGTTTTTGCAATGGTCATTATTTCGAATCCAAAACACCTTTTTCATCGTTTCGTGGTCGTTCAGCGACGAGGCCGCCGGCATAGCGTACGAGGTCTTACGTAAGACGTGCCTACCAGAGGGACATACGTACAAACGGTACGTGGCAAAGACCGACCCTCTCCATCAGATTTTCATTCACGGAAGGAAAATGGTTCACGAATAACATCACTTCTTGGTATCGATGAATTTTTCTTTCTGCCGAAAATCAATATTCTACATTCTGTTTCTCTTACCGATATCGTAAAGTACTCGTACTTTACGATAAAGTACTTTACGATAGAAAATGAATGGATCATCTCTGTCAAAAAATTTGAAACAAAAAATCAGAAGAGCTGCCGTTGCACGATCTGATATCGTGCGATACGCCATGAACTGCACGATAGATCGTGGCGTTGTTCTCGATAGATCAAGGAGAAAAGGAGACGCATTCGACGACCACCAAGCATTATGAATGGGAGCACAGGAAGGAAACGTTCCAAGCCGGATAGTACTAGCTCGATAGTCTTGACACCCGCGGCAGAGGCAGTCGCATCTCCGTCGGAACGGTGCTGGAAGTGCAAGGGAAGAGGCAAGAAGTTTCAAAAGTCGACCCAGTGCTTCGACGGTCCGTCTTGCAAAGTTTGTAACGGGGCCGGAATCCGCAAGCGATCGAAGCGCTCACAGATATTGGCATCGGAGCCGGGGAAAATACTGAACCTAAGGGGATATCCTGCCGATCACGTCCTCCGAACGGTCTTCCCTGACGGCTTTGCCGGTCCCCGAGCAGTTTGGGGCGGTACTCATGCTAGTGTTTCAGACGCCAAAGTATCTGATAAAAATACTTCCAGCAATAACGACACTGTAGGTGATTTACCAAGAAGCTTGCTACCTCGCGAAGGAGAAGTGGTGGGATCACTTGGGTGTGGCGATTGGAGGATCTATCAGATCTCCGACGGCAACAAACTGACAGTGGACGACTTTGTTTGCGCGTGGGTAGCGGCGGAAGAAATGAGGAAGCGGGGGCATGGGTCGAACCTTCATCGGTCGAACCCAGTGATTGCAAAAAAGAACGACGACAACGGCGGTATTGCTAACGATGGTGCGAAAATGTTCGGCGGCAGAATTGACGCACCAGAGGACAAAAGTACGTCAAAGCAGCATCGCTTCAATCATGCTGATATCGGGACCGGATGTGGAAGCGTACTGATGATGACTGCCTGGGCATTTCTGGGAGAAATCCAATCGATTGGAGTCGAGGCACAGGATGTCTCCTTCGGATGTGTGAAACGAGGACTTGAATGGAACCTGGGGAGCGACGGAACTTCTCCCTATGACGCGGTTCAAGTTCGACAAAACGACCTGCGAACTTGGGATGGGTACGGAATAAGCATCCCCAAAAGCATTGCGCAGAGAGAATCCACGACACCGCACACGGAAAGGGCAGGAGCAATTAGTGGTGAAAACAAGAAGGATCCAACGCCTTCGACGCTTGGACCACCGTACCATCTTATCACGGGGACGCCGCCCTACTTTCCTCTCGATAGTTTCGTAGCCAGCCAAAACCACGAACAAAAGGTCCGGTGTCGCGTCCCAACTCGAGGGGGTGCACCCGATTACATCGCAACGGCCTCACGATTCCTCCTGGAAGAAGAAAGCGACGAGACCACTAGTGCGAATCATGTCGATGCCGGTTCTCATGCTACGAATAGCGGAGGTGGTGTGTTTTGTATGGTTGAAGCTGCGTTTGACAAAGCCGAGGCAGGAGTGTTGGCAGCCGTTGAAAAGCACAATATGCGGGTGCAGCGACGGGTGGATGTAATCACTAGAACCGGGCTTCCACCACGGTTTAGTTGCTGGATCATGACCAAAAAGAAGGTGTCCACAAATCACAAGAAAGCAATCCCGACAAACAACTTGTCTAAGAATGAAACCAACGACAACGCACAGACGGTCAGTGACGCCGACGGAAATCGCAAGGAGATAAAGCGGGATAACAGCAGCGAGAAGTCACCGTTTCCGATAGAGACACTCACACTCCGCAATGCAGATCTTTCAAGGACAAAAGAATACACAAATGCAATGGAGATTATGGGCTGGGTAGATTTTGAAAAATCTAGACACAAAACAGTAAAGAAACTTCCCAAAGAAGACGAATCAAACTTTTAGTCCCAATTTTTATCAGAAGGATAAATCAATCATACGATGGAAAAAATAAATTCGTGTTTCAATTTATTTTTTTTTCCTTACGGAAAAAATATTGTGGGCAACATTTACGTATTTGCAATGTATGGCATAAAGAAGTACATCAACTAGTACCATGAAGTACTTCAGCCAGTCTACAGTATCACTAACTACCAGCAGAAGTGCCATGAAGCTACTACTAGTACTATCATTGATAAGAAGTCATTGACACAAAAATGAATAGTATAAAACTGGATTGTAATATTGATTGCTTCTTCACTTGTTCAATGGTGAGCAGCTGGGAGAAAGAACAAGAAGAAGATGCAATGCTTTACATTACTAGTATTCTTGTTCTTGCTGAAAGAACAGTGCATAGTATTCATTTAATTGAACTAATGGGTCGTCCTTGTGGGCAAATCATCTTTTCTGTCAAATTGAGAAATTGGATGTTAAAAATTACTACCATTCCAATAGCCTCAGCAGACAACAGTTACTAGTGACCATACGTCGGACTGTACTCGACACGAGTGAAGGACAGACCGCCGTCGGATATTGGAAGCAGCTAGCGCGACCAACATCACTTTTATTTTTACAAACGCAAGACAGTAACTGGGGGTACGTACGTATGAGCAGGGGTCATAAATTTAGACCCCTGCGTATGAGAGCGTATTAGTAGTTCGTATGTACTGTACGTACTCAGCATTACGATAATCTACGTGGTTCTTACCTTTCGATTGAGCAACTCGTACGAACTTCTTTTATTTTTTATTCGGACGAATATTCTTTCAATACTGGTACGATCGCTCTCAAGATACTTTAGAATTCTGTCTTCCCCTGTCATCACCTCAAGTTTCGAATCTCCCATGCCGATTTGAATCGCTCTGAAATCGCTTCCGCGCTCCACACCGCACGGTTCTTACGGTGGGTTTCTTAGCGACAGGAAGGATTCTCTGTGTTGGCATCGGTTACTCGTACATACCGCATTCGAATCATCGAACCTGTTAACAGCAGTGCCGCACTTATCATGGTTCCTTACCAAACTTATCTGATCACAGCGTTAAGGCGAAACTAAATACTCTCAATTTCCACTAGTGGTTCCTACAGTTCCTTCCCATCCGCTACCCTAAAATGCGTCGAAGTTTTAAGCGACGATCTTCGTCCATTGGATCAGCATGCGATGGATCTATCGACCTCACAAACAATCAGCAGTTGGAAGGAAGCACGTCGAAGGCGGAAGATTTTGAGGCTGCCAGGCAACTTCTTTCAAGCTTGTTATATATGAAAGATGCCTCAGGACGCTCCTATTTGCATTCTGATTTCAAGCTTAGCTGGGCAAGGGCGCTCCTTGGCAGAGCGAGGAAATTAGACGACGGGACAGAGCAGTTCATGAATTTTTATACGAATGGCATCGATCAATACAAAAATGGCCGCAATGTTCGCAAGGGAAGCCATCATCGCCCGAGCAAAGAATCGACCCATGTTAGGAATAGCACGCTTATGCAACGGCGTTTTCTACTCCAACGAGATCAAGAATCGGGCTACACACCATTTCACAGAGCGATTTTGGAAGGAAACTTGGGAGCTATTTTGTTATTCTTGCGGCATGCAACGGCTGAAGACTCGTCAACAGAAAGGCTGACGCAACGACCAATGGTGCTTCTGCACGGAGCGGAAGCCAATCACGGTCACAACAACCCAAACCGTAATAGACACCAGAACAATACTCTTTTACTGGACATGGCGAGCGCTACCGACTACGAAGGCATGACACCACTCCGTCTACTAGGAAGACTGCAACAATCAGAACTCTTTTTGTGTCGGAACCACTTGCAGTCATTTCGCCCGTCTGTCGATCGGAATGCCACGATGAGGCTTCGCACTCGTCACAGGCTTTCGAGTTTCGATGACAATGGCACCAATAATAGTGACGACGATGAAAACATAGATTTTTTCAGTGAAAATGCCGATTTGTTTGAAGAAGATTCGGACAAAGACGATAATTGCTCAAAAGTTGACAAATCATCTTATGCTTGCGAAGTCGTCACGTTTGGAAGACCTAATCACTGCGCTTTGGGAGTCATCCAAGGCACGGGCTCGTCATCTTCCACCTTTACGTCGTCTTCTAGCAAAGACAATAGCAATCAAACGTATAGCCATGGAAGTGCCTTCTGTCCACAACGTGTTCAAGAATTTGCGCAAGAAGTCGTTGGAAGACCGGGTTCTGCAATGGCCATTGCTGCTGCTACACATCATACATTAGTGGTAACGAAAAAGGGCCATCTTTATGCCTTTGGTTTGGAGAAGGGCGGCCGGCTAGGTTTGGGAGATGATCAACCCAAACAATGTCCTCTACCGAAACGGATCCTTGGTCCTCTGCAGAGACGCCAAGTAGTGAGTGTGGCAGCTGCCGAAAACCATTCACTTTGCGTCACCGCTCGTGGTGATGTCTATTCATGGGGATCAAATCGTTTCGGTCAATTAGGAGATAACGCAACAAGTAATTCAGCGTCAACTCCATGTGGAAGTCGCAGTGTGCCGCGTCGAGTCGAGGAGTTGAGGCAACACCCCTGTGTTGCTGTGGCTGCGGGAGAAAAGCATTCCGTGGCCTTGTCTCGGAAAGGAGAAGTTTATGTGTGGGGTGATAACACTTCTGGTCAATTGGGCGTAGCTAGAAGATCAGGTGTTCAAAAGGTGCAACGTGTAGAAGCACTCTGGGGCTCCTCTGCGACACAAGGAAGTGTCAACCGAAAACCGCCGAAAATTGCAATTGCCATTGCAGCTGCCGAGCAATCAACTTTGGTTCTCACTACCGGATCACCGGCCTCCACATTGAACAATGTCAACGCAATTTATGAATGGGGTCATGGCAATCACGTTCCAATCAGAGTTCATTTTGAAAGTTGTAGTACCGAAGCTCGCAAAAAGGACAGCAACCGATCAACTTCTTTTGCGTCTAGTTTCAGTCGTATCCCGAATCCAACGGCTATTTCATGTGCCCGATACCACAACGCGGCAATAACTTCTGACGGATTGGTTTATACATGGGGACTCCGTGCTGAGTTGTTAGGAAGAGAAAAAGGTAATGCGAATACCTCAAAGCCCCAGCATCAACGTCGCAACTGTACCCCGCAGCTCGTAACAGGGATGCTCTCAGAGAAAGGAGGTGGGTTTGCTGTAGCGATTGATGCTTCGGGAAGTCACACCGCAGTTGTTTGCGACGACGGAGCTTTGTTCACTTGGGGAACGACCGATGGAAATAATGTCTACAACTTGGGACACGAAGGTGTTCGATGGCAACCTAAACCGAAGCGTGTTCCAGGAGTCCATCGTGCGGTAGATGTGGCTGTTGCAAAGGAGCACACAATCCTTCTGATTGGTACCAGCTTTCCCTCAATTTCAAAAAATGATGTTTTACCAAGTCTTGAAGTTCTCGCTGCTAAGAAAACTGCGGAGTACGTCGACCTTTTCAACGTAATACCAATATTGACAATGGCGCGGCGAACAGAGGTATGAGTTGTGGAACAGTTCAACGGTGTTTCGGTGAATGAATTTATATTGTTAATGCCCTCACCTTTTAATTGATATTGATTATTTCTGAAATCTCCTGCAGTCTTCCTTCCTAACAAAATACTGCAGTGACTTTGTTTACAGAAATCTCGATGGTGTACTAAACGTAGGAAAAAAGAGGGATATGAATCAATATTTGAACGATATGTTGGCGGAAACCACCTATCGTGCTGGAAAAAGGTATCGCGATGACAACCATCACCCCTTTGTATTTGATGTGCTTGCTGCTGGTAACGTCGGGCGACCTACATTTGATCGAGAGTGGTTTTCGGACATTGAAGAATGGGTTGAAGGTTGTAAGCAACTCGCTGACTCTCCGGTTGTTCGACGACTGCTTGAAGTCGCTGCAGTTCGGGAGTACGAGGAAGATTCAGCTGGGCTTAATTCGAAGAGTCGACTGGGCTCTTCGTGTCAAGAAGAATACGACGAGTTTAAAGAGAGGTCACACAGTCTGTCAGAATCCACTCCGACCGCTGCAGCGAAGGAAGGAAATCTAGATAGATGTATCAAAAGGACGGCTACAATGAATTTATCGACACTTGAGCTTGCGAATGAAAATTCCGAATGGTTGGCGAAAGAGATTCGTGGAGTTCGAAAGAAACTCAAGCAAATTAACAATCTGCTTGACACTGAGACTCGAGAGGGCATGCTATCTCCGGAACAGAAGGCAAAGGTTGCTCGTCGACCAACATTGGAGACTGAACTAAGCATTTACGAATCAGCTGTAGTTGAAGTTGAAACACGAATAAAGGAGCTTAAAGACAACAAGAAAATCAATGTAAAGCCTCTTTCGTCGACAAGAGATTGTGATTATCCTCAGGAGAAAGGAAGTATCAAAACGAGGAAAAACACAACAACCGACGACGACGAGTCTGTGCGATGTTCGGTAGTCCAAAAGAAAAAGATTGGGCACAAGTTTGGATCGTCGCCAACAGTCATGGACAACAAAACCTATTTTTGCGATACTTGTGGTGTAAGATGTACTGACGAGGCAAACTTTATCCTTCACCAGAATGGTAGAAAACATCGAAATAGAGTTGCTCAATTAGCGGAAGAGGAGAAGGAAAAAACATCGGCTTCCATACGCCAACAACAACAAATTCAGATGATGAAATCACCTCCTGTGTACACCCCCGAACCGAAAAAGATTGTTAAAAATGCATGGGGGACACCTTCACCGCAGCCGAACTACAAACTTCCACCTCCACCGCATCCAGTTCTAGCGCAAGTCGCACTGAATCCATCACCACCTTCCACCAAAAACGTAAGATCGGCGCCTCGTAAGGTGCCAACCGCATCGCCGGCTTCGAATTTCAAGAAGTTGCTGGGGGACGAAGGAACCAAGAAGAAAATGGCATTTGGGGCAAATAATTTGTCGTCCAGTTTCACAAATATACTGTCAGAGCAAGAAGTGACAAAGAAAAAGATGAAACAATCTTCAAAGCCTGCGGTTTGGGATGCAAGTCCAACTTCGACTCGTTGTGTACCTCTTTCCATGTATGCTACTACTCGCCCTGTATTCTCGCCCGAGAAATCTGAAATGAATCCTCAAAGGTCGCAAAGTATCTCAATTGCTGATTTTTTGACTCCGAAGAAAAAACAGACGTCCTCCCCCGCTGTTGCGCCCTGGATCAATGATCCTGCGAAAAAATCGCCGTCAGCTCTTCCGAGCACCAAGACTCTCGCACAGATTCAAGCAGAAGAAGAGACTCTCAGGTCGAAACAAGACAAGAGCTATGGAAAGGGCGGGGGGAGCTGGTACGTTGAAAGAAGAGAACGTGCTGAATCAGTGTTGCAGATCCAGAAGATTGCTGAGGAGGACTTGGCACATCGTCTCCTAGTAGAGGAACAATTGAGAATCGAAGCTCAAATCAAAGAAGAATGTGAGCGTCGACAGAAGGCTGCGAAAGAAAAGAAAAAAGGTGGACCAAAGCGGAACAAAACCGCGAAGAGAACCAACGATAGCAACAAGACAAAACCCATTGATCCTTCAAAACCCAACGGGAAAACGTCTAATGCTTCGAAATCGAATCGCAGCAGGGGCAGGAACCATCCGGCGAACAAGGGTGCGAAAAAGCCGTCCAAGAAATCTCCCAATAATGGTTCGAAAGAGACACAAAAACCCGTCAAGAACCTGAAGGCCCAAGCTGTTAAAAAAAATAGTGGAGAGTAATACAGTAGATTGTCGCAAGGCACAATGCTCGTAAATGCTTGGATAATATTATTTGTAAACACAATGAACCGTTTTTTACAGAAATAGTGTTACTGATAGAAACAAGCAAACTCGATTGTTCGTTTCGATTATTCATTGCAGTAGACACCACAACGGTGACAAACTGATCTCGTGATAACGCTGCTGCTAGTGGAAAAATTACGTGATTGTGTTCGATGTGTATAATTTGAATACTATCATCTATTTATTTGAAACAATATGTGTTACATTGTGTAGTTTAGTCGTACAGTTAGTTTTTGTTGTTGCTCCCCGGCACGGTGCAACCCCCAGCACCGCTGCCGAGTGATCGGACCTCGTTTGCTAGTTGGTCCGTTATTTCATTGGTTCGTCATTCACAAAAGACGCCTGCGAGAGCGGGGTTTGTGATTTGCCATGATGTATGCTAGCGTGTTCGCAGGATTCTGAACGACGGAGGTGGAGGGTGCCGGCAGGGATTTTGGTGGGATGCGTTCGTCATCGTTGCCGTCTTCGTTGTTGTCCCCGATCGATATGGACCGAACGGCCGTGGAAATGGCATCCTCGGTTGTGCTTGTGGGTGGTGATGGGGCCGGTTCTTGTGGTTGTGCCCCTTCTTGTGCTGCACTGATGTTGTTGGTGTTGTTGTTGCTGCTGCTGCTGCTGCTGTAATTGTTGGTTGTGTCTCGGGCAACGATTCGGGCGTCGATCGCAGCAATCTCGTTCGCCTCGACCTGGCAATGGGCGGTGTTCTGTCGGTATAGCTCGGCGATATTGGCGGGGTTTGTCTGTTGTTCTTCCCGCTGCCTTCCTTGCTCGTCGAGTACGGCCCAGAGCCCCGCGCACCAGTTCTTGTGGCGGGCAATGGATCCCCGGCGGGTCTTCTTTTCCAGACCGCGCGTGGGTTCGAGTTCGGAGTCGTCGGTTTCGTTTTCGTCGGCGCTGGAGTCGCCGATGCCTCTGGTCTCGGCCGCCATCATTCGCTTGATGACCTTCACCATGGATCGCCTAATGGCTTTGGTTTCCCGGGTGGTGTACCAGGTGTTCTTGATTTCGTCGCTGCTCATCTCCGAAACGAGTGGAATGAGAAACATCTCGTCGCTGGTTTCGGAGAAGGTCACGGTTCGACAAACGGCCCTGCGCGGAGGACTGGAGCTTGACGAGGACCCGGTAGCATATTCGGATAGGAGAGGAGACACGATGTCTAAATTGGTTTGGTGGATAGGCTTGCACATAGTTGTCATCTTTGTGTGTTTGTGTTTTGTGTTTTGTGTGTTTGGCTTTGGAATGTATGAGTTTTTGCGTTTTATATTTCAGGGTTGGATACCGTTGTTGCAAAAGAAGTGTTCGCAGTTTGTTTGTGAAAATTGTGACCACAACGCGTTGGGATAGGATTTCATGCAGGCATCGATGCTAGCGTTTTCGATAAAACATTGGGACTGAAGAGTTTGGAGTACAGAGTGTACTACATTTCCTACTCTATTTTCTACCCTTACTTGTCTGTAATTATCTCACCGGGGCATTAACAATTGCCCAGGACTTTGTTGCACTTTCACAAACTTGAAGTTTACTTATTAAATTTCGTACGAAACTTGAAGTCAATGGTCATTATGACCTATAACTTCAATTAAGTTCACGTTCAAAATTGCCCGAGATTACTGTACTTCGGTACCCTTACTTGTCTGTAAATACCCCACCGAGGCATTAAAAATTGCCCAGGACTTTGTTGCACTTTCACAAACTTAAAGGTTTACTCGTTAAATTCCGTAAGAAACTTGAAGTCAATGGTCATTATGATCTATAACTTCAATTAAGTTCACGTTCAAAATTGCCCGAGATTATTGCAGTCCGAGATTAGAAACAAAAGCTCTTGCTGTTGGAGGACCGGGAGAATATTTCAAATTCGAGACTATGAATTTTAGCAAAAAATACGGCACTGGGAACCTAGAACAGTAAAATCTACTGATTACTGGAACTTTGTACGGTACTACTTACTGTGTATCGTATTGCATTTCAGCTTTCTTCGTAGTCTACGTACGATACCGTATGGGCTTAAGTACTGTACGGTCTCGCGTACCGTAAAACCCTGCATTGGAGTCATCACGATCAGAGAAGAACTAGTTTCTCAGCACTTCTACCGGTACTTCAGTTCAATTTCGCAATTCGTCTGTTATTCAATTTTAATTGGCTTAGATCCGAAGTACAGTTTCGTAGGACACCGAAGTATTTGAGGTGAGGAGCTTCCAACCAGATATAAGCCTTGAGATGCCATCCAGGACTCAAATGGCTTCAATAGGAAAAAAATTTGTGTCGCACCATAAACAACTCAAATTATAGTTCGAAAAATAAGCACCGTCTTGTACAAAACCGACGATACTACATATGATACCTCACGCGGTTCCCTCATTTTTTGAGCTACCGGTATATAAAAGAGGCTTTAGTAATGTTGTACGATTAACTTCACATTGCACATGTCGTACCGGTACAAGCAAAACGACGACAACCAATACGTTCTTGCGGAAGCTAGTACCGTTTTTGCGCGGTACCATTCGGAACCGTATCCGACCCCTGCCCATACCTACCGAGTTTCTTGGATTTGGTCTTGCCAATCTCTTGCGGGGGTTGGATAATTGCTCCGGCTTGTGATCCACTCGGAGCCGTTCCAAAAGCTGCACCCGATGCAATTGTGTCGCATGGCCACTGAACTAGCAAACAAACAAATCCAGTAAGCTACAAGACGCCGTTCGGAGTGATTGTTCTGATTGTTCACCTCCCTTGACCAGACCGGTCGTTCGTTCACAAACGAGAACAACGAACGAACGATGGCAATAAATAGGAACAATTCTTTGCCAACGGGGTCCGAACAATCCGGATCCACGATGTCGGTCCAGGACATAGTGATACGACGGCAGCAACAACTGCTCCTCGGGCGTGAAAACATCAAGCTGACCGAGGACCAGCAGCGGCTTTTTCTCCAGCACGGAGCAAGTGACGGCATCGTCCAAAGTAGCAGCAGCGGCGACAACGCACACGCCGTTGCCCCCGGTTACTGTGGCGATTCGTCGCCCATCGGTCTGTCTCCGAACATCTCGCCCACCACCGTCATAACCAGAAAGGCACTGGCTACTCGGCCACCACCAGGCACGCCGTGGCCACTCGCCGCCACACAACAACAACAACATCAAGAGCATCGGCATCGGGACCAACAATGGCATCAGCATCAACATCAACAAGAACAACAAAAGCGACATCAACTGCTACTACAACAGCAATATAACCACCATTATGAGCTACATTATCAGCAGCTGCAGCAGCAGCATCAACAACAACTACAACAACAAAAAGAGCAACGACAGAGACAAACGGAGCATGAGGGTGATTTTATCTGCTTGCACCCTAGGGACGATACACGGTCCCGTGTCCGTTTTTCAACGGCTCTTTCCGTGTACGATCATTTCGAAGACGACGACAACGACAGCAACGACGGTTCCGATCGCGCAACCAGGGAAAACCACCAGGGCGGCAGCCCGCTGGGGATCATCAACGAACAGACCGCAAACGCAACCGCAAGCACAGCTGCAGCGAGGACGCTCCCCCACGACTTGTTCCTGCGCCGCCGGGCCCGTCGCTGCTGGTACTCCCGCGAGGAACTCGCGGCGATCAAGGCCGAGCGCAAGGCGATCGTGAGAGCGATCCGGGGGAACGCCCGTGGCAGCGCGGATGCCCCGGGGCACGAGCTCCGCGGGCTGGAAGCCTCTCTCTCGGTAGGTATCTGTCGTACCATCCTGTTATGCTGTGCCACAATGCCTTTGTTTTCAAGTCCACGAATGCCAACGGGTATGCATAAATATACAAAAGACCAGTGTTCGTAGCTCATGTTCCCATTTTCTTTGTCGTGTTTCCCCATCGCTCAGCCCGCAATCAAGGAGGCGACCTACCGAAAACGCAGGCAAGTCCTGGAGGTGGTGCTCGGCGAGCAACACCGGCAGCGAACACAAACGCATCCTACCAATTCCAATACTACGAATACTACTATCAGGAGCAGCACCGGTCAACCCCTCGCCCCCGACGACGAAAAGCTGCGGCTCGCCAGCAGGGAGGCCACGGAGTGGTTCCGCAACCGGGCGCTCGAATCCGCAAGGCAGGACGCGTCCGATGCCCGCGAGTTCTACGAGAGCGGCGCCAACAACCACGACGCAACCAGCATGCTGTACGAGTCGATGTCCTCCCTCCACGGATCCTTCGCCCTCATGGACATCGACGACGGCGCCGCCGGGGTGATTTTTGGCAACGAAAACGAAAACGACAACTCGACGCTCCGGTATTGGGCGGACTCCTCCTGGACCAGGAATCTCATGGAAGAATAGCACGAAAAATTATCGATTCCCGAAAAAACTTGACCTGCTATTATCTATATAGTTTTGCTTTAACAGTTTTGGAGTGCCAAAATCTATCATCCTGTTTGGGGCTTGTGCGTTGCAAGATGCATGCTGCAGTACTCTAGTATTGATTTCGCTAGGGTGAGATCTCCCATCACTTTCGATTGTTGTTTCCTAACTGTGTTGCTATCCCCGGTAGCATTGGTTCGTTTGTTAATTCTTTCGTTCTGAGCAATGCAACCCATTTCCAACACCACAACTGTTTTTGGTGAAGAACACAGGAGCCGCATTGCAACCAAGTATACATTGTATCTTATTTCCTTGAAACCGGATACCGTATTCTTCCTTCGTTCTCACTACGAGACTTGTTTCGTTTCGATTCAATGCTTCGTTACATATCGAGGTGCTCGTGCCACTCGTGCACCAATTCCTTCCCCTTTTCATCGTCCATGCCCTGCCACCGGATCAGTTGCTGGCCCTCAGACTTTTTCTTGATGCGATAGAGGACCCCAAACAGCACCAGCGCCATGCCAAGGTACCCCACGTTTGTAACGGGGTGTCCGTAGAGGACGCAAGAGAGCGCGATGCTGAGCAGGATGCGGGTGGTCATGATTAGGGTGAAGACTACGGCACCAAAGTTCTTGATGGTGTAAAAGATAAAAAGCTGACCGATAGTGCTGCAGATGCTAAACACAAAAAAATGCAGCTGGATTTCCGAGTGCTCCATTACAAAGGCAAAGGCGGGCGACAGCTCGTTCGTGTGGACCAGGGTGATAAAGCTCAGGACGGTCGAAAAGGCACTGGTGGCAAACATGAGTTCCACGATGCTGAGATCCAGATGCCTCTGGAAGAGCCTTGACTGAAACTGGCTCGTGAAGGAATCGAAAAAGAGGAAAAAGCACAGCAGCATTACCCCCGTCCATTTTGCGGACGCCACCTCCGCATTCCCTAGATAGTCCATGCTAAAGCTGAAGCGCAGATCGTCAGTGGAAGTCATAAAGAGAGCGATTCCGCATCCGATAACCAGGGCTACGAAATAGTCGTAGGCAGGATCTGTGGTTCCGAAACAACGCAAGCAAAAGTTCAAGAAAGAGCAAAAATCAATGAGCAAAAGTCGGTTTGAATCGAATTGAACCGAATCGCATTGCTGTGTGTCTATACGCTGTACCTACAGTGCTTGTTGCCAATAAGTTTCCCCATGAGCATCACGGGGCCGAGCTTGAAGCTCTTGAAGAGAGTCGTGGCCGGAAACGAAACGTATCGAAGAGCTTCATACTGGCACCAGCTGCTGAGCATATTGGAAATAGAGGGGAAGCTGTATTCGTAAATCACCGTGCTTTGGCTGAGGCGTGGCTTGAGGTACCACATGAGGGTGCTCGATAGGATCAGCGTCCACAACCGGTTTGAAAAGACGAGGGCGTACGTGTAGGTGAAGTAGTCCCCAGTGTGCCTCGGATACCGGCGCGTCAGCATGCGTTCCTGTAGTGCGCCCCAGGTCACAAAGGTCAGGTTCAGCATCAGGGAGCAAAGCAAGAGGCGTTTGATGACCTGCGCCCGGCTCGTTTGCTCCTGATCGAATTCCAGCACGCGGGCAGAATGGTGAAAGTCGGACTCCCCCATCATGTCTGAGAGCAGGGGATCTTCCTGGTGTTCGTGGTCTTCGTCGTAATCTTCAGAAGAACCACGATTTGCGCTGTCATCGTCGTCGTCGTCCGAGTAAAGCGATTCCAGGGCATCTTCTTCCTCGTCAGCGTAGGACCGTTGCTCCTTCTGCTCTGTCCGCCGGTAGGAATATTTTCGACGAATGTTGGGTATAGATCCCCTTTTCAACGAATCGGGAAAGTAGACTTTCGCAACTATTGTGGTAATTATAACCATAGCAACATAGAGCTATCCATTCATACAATTGGAATGAACATTAGTCAATGCTGTGAGTGGCCACGCACAATCCAACTCGAGCAAGTCAATGCCGCTCGAAACGAAACGAACAAAGAACACACCACGACCTACCAAGAAATTGGTCGCCAAAAGATAGAGCTCCGCTTCCGCCGATTTGCTCAAAAACGGACTCGTGGATTCACTCGTATACGTAGATTCGTCGTTCACCAGTGCATGCAAAATATTGTCGTTGGCAACAGCGGCGGGTGCCGCAGCTTGATATTGCTCCGTTTCTAGGTTGAGAAAGTCGTCGCTTTCCTGGCTGCTCAGGGCACGATCGATCAGCCAGCGGCTAGATTCCACTAGTTCAATGAAGTCCGCCATTGTTGCAGACTCGGTGCTTTGCAGGGCGCGTTTGTAATCTTCTGTTTTCAATTGTAATGTCTGCGTCTTGCCGATAAAGCTAGACGTCTATGGGATATGTTGCCAATTGCGGTGCAGAAATGTATTCTACAGGTACGAAACGCTCGACTTGAAAATTAGAGAACCTGTAACAGGACACTGGTCCCTGGAGGAAGTAGAATGGCACAAAAAATGCCTCCACAGTATGGGCCTAACGGATACCAAGGTAAAAAAGGTTGTACCAGCACTAGAAGGGATACGAGCGAGTGCAACACGCCTATCCTCGGTTTTAGGGTGAGAAAAAAGAGAAAACGTAACAGACTACAGTAACTGCGTACGTACGTCCCGTACGCTAGTACATTTGTTCGACGGTTTTTTCCTTTTAGCCCTATCCCTAGCGTATCGTTTCGATTCGTACCGTCACGTACAGTCAGATAGGGACATTTGAAATTTAAAAATTTGCCATGCGCAATCTTAAGGGGACTCTAGTTAGTACTGATCCTACGTTTATCTACGAGAGAAAATCAAACCTACCGTAAAACTACAGGACCGTCTTGATGTTCTTCGTCCGGAACTGTACCGGTATGACCCAACCGGCAGGACAAGTCGAAACCGAAGCTCCCAAATATTCTTTGACGAGGTCAAAGAAACCAATACGACCATGATGCTTTCTTCTGCAGCTCGATCGCGTGGCTTAGTTCTCACCGCAGCCGCAGCTCTTTTCTTGGCGAATGCTGCTGACGCCGCACAAGGCGGGGCTTGTCCGGCGGGACCGTCCTCGGCCGACGGAACTTGCCTGAACGTCAATACCAACCTCGGAGATGCCGACGACGTCGATTGCGGTGTCTACATGGCACCTTCTACCATCGGTGACCATTCGAACTTGGGTATTTTCACGGCCAAAGCGATGAAAAACGGAGAAAAGGTTCCCTACCCCGAAATCATCGTTCCGCTATTGTGGAGAATCTTTGGGGTAAGTAAACTACGTATCGTATGAAAAGTAGGACGGTTTAGTGGCGTGCGGAGATGGATGTCCGAAAACTATGTCATGTATGTGATGTGCAGACGAAAATCGACCGAACCTGCTTCGCTATGTGAAGTAAACTGACCCGAATCTTACCATGATGTGCCGTGCCACTTGTCGACGACACTTTCCCCGCCTTGACAGGAACATCCGGCAAAATCCATGACGGATGGACAACTCTGGGATCGTTACATCTGGGAGCAATACGTCGGCGAGGTCGAGGCCTTTGAGGACCTGGACAGGACCAACGAACGAGTGGCGTGCTTTATCCCGGGCGTTGGATGCACCGTGAACAGCATGCTGGAACTCGGCAACATCCACAGTGCCCAGGGAAGCCAGTTCGACGAGGTCGTCGACCGCACTAGTCCCGGAGCCGGGGCATTCACGCCGTACCATTCCACTCCAACGATTATCAATGCTCCGGAAGGCTTTAATGATGGCGTTGAGCCGGGACAAGAGCTGTTCGCAACCTACGGCGACGAGTGGATCCCATGGAGTAAGTAGAAGAACTAATCGATCAAAACGGAGTTTCCACGAGATTGAAGACCACCTATTGTGCGGCAGGACTGCACTGACCACCTTGTGCGTCGTTTTTCTTTCCTTCCTGCGTGCTTGCCTCACGAATCCATGGCATTGCAGTTCCTGGTGCGGCCGTGACCTTTTCGAAAAATTTCAAAAAAGCCGACAAGCTCATGGAGGAGTTTGAAGACTGGATCGTGGAACACGAAGAAAATCCCGCCACAAAGGACGATGTTACGGACGAACTACTGGAGGACATGTGGAAGGTCATGATCGATTTTCCAAACGTCGGTCCCCGCCAATGGGAAGAACTCTCGGTCTTGCCCAGAGAATGGGACCGAGGCAGGCTGAAGGAACTGAAACACGTAAAAGAGCAGCAGAAGCGGAACCAAGAAACGACCTCGTCGCCATTGCCGCTCCCCAACCCACCATCGACCTCGACTCGCTACTGGGCAGACAAGGGCAAGGTTTCCTTAGAATTTCTACGAGAGGAGGGCAAATGCCAGGACCACATACGCCCGGATATTTCCGAGATTCCTCACGCCGGTAGGGGAGCCTTTGCTTCGAGGGACTTGCCGAAAGGAACCATTGTTGGATACGCTCCCTTGATTCACGTTGGAACTCATGGCAAAGACTTGTTCGAGATCGTCTACAACGGCGAGAGCAAACACGGAATGGAGCGATTCGAATATCGCGACATCGAAGACGAGGACGAAGTCGACGGGGACCTGGAAGAAATGGCGGAGTCTGCCTCGAACCGTCAGAATCGATACACCAAGCAGGACCTCGTGTTGAACTACAGTTTTGGACACAAGAATTCCACACTCCTTTTGACTCCGTACGGCGCCATGGTGAACTACATCAACCACAAGAGTGCGAAGGATGGCGACGGCCCAAACGTGCGTGTTCAGTGGCCCACCAGAGAGTTTGTGGCGCACAAACCAGAATGGCTATCGGAGGACCTCAACTTTTTTAGGGATTCTGTTGACAAAATCGGCTTGTCGTTCGACTATGTCGCCCTGCGCGACATCAAGGAAGGAGAAGAAATTACCATGGACTACGGAGACGAATGGGTGGGTATTGATTGTTTTTGCGTTCGCTTCGAGCTAGGATCGAATCGGTGCTGTTTTTGGTGATGTTGCTATTTTTTGCGTCCCTCGCCGTTGGTTTGCGTACCCGATGCTGTTTCCTCGCTATCTCTCATTCTTCCCGTTGTTTGTCGATCGCTCGAAAGGACCAAGCATGGAAAGACCACGTTGCCAGCTGGACTCCTCCCGAAAATGCGGAGGAGTACGTTCATTCCTCGAAATTCGAAACAGACTACCTCCGTACCCCGGACGAGCTTCTGGAAGAACCCTACCCGTGGAACCTGCACACCCTCTGTACCGAGTACTACACCAAGAAACCTGGCGATTTGGAGAATTCGTATTCCAGTACGTTCGTGAGCGATCGAGCCGAACAGCTCTTGCCCTGCCGCGTGCTGGATCGGATTTCCCTCGAGGACGACGACGAAGAAGAAGACTATTTGTACACCGTGGAAATCCAGACGTCCGAGAACAGCGTTGTCGTTGTACACGATTACCCCCGCAGCGACAACGGCATCCAGCTCTACGACAAGGCGTATTCTCCGATGTGGCACATGAAAGAAGCCTTTCGGCACAAAATTGCCGTCCCGGACGACGTGTTCCCCGAGAACTGGATGACGAAACAGGATTGATTCTAACRGCAGCGGATCGATGGAAGTCAACCGAATTCTCTCGGTCGGTGGTAGTCAGAATCGCAATGGATAGAACATACTACGGTCTATTGAAATCTTGATAATCAAACATTACTACTATTACGAGAACGAGTTTCGTAGTAGTTTCTAAAAATTAGAGTTTCTTATGAAAGATTTTTAAAATCATTCATTCGAAATTTCTATTCGACCCATCTGACTGAATCGATTTGAATCTCGATGTCGGAGACTGCCGCTTTCTTCCATCTACCATAGCAACATAGTACTATACATAGTTAAAGTAGACACAAACCATATTAACCGTATGTACTCGATGGTCATTCTCGTGAATTTAGTCTCCGCTACGTAGAAGTTTTGTGAGACACATTTTTTCAGTCCCCACACAACACACAACGGGAGGTGACCAAGTTGCCGTTGGCAGTAGTACGGTAGGTACGTAGGAGCCACCACTTACAGTAGTACATTACTCCGTACAAGTGCTACTAGTCCTACCCGGCCAGAAAAAATAATAATAATAAACTCCTCTGTCGATCATCAATGACAGTACGTACCGATACGTTTTGTAGAATAACTGGCACCAAACCAAAGGCTTGGCAGAGAAGGGCGACAGCGTCCTGTCTAACAAGCATTCCGAAACCAGCACGTTCGATCCATTAGCTACTCGATTCGCACACAGTAAGCACGGTGCATACCTACCTTGCCGCAGCGAGAAGTGGCCCGCCGACTGTCAACGGAAATGAGCGGTCTTCGGTCCAGGAACGTAGACCTCGGAGACCGGAACGGAACGAACCGCTGGTGCAAGAACTTTTCCGCGGATTCCGATGGTCCTCCAATGTCTAGGTCTGGTAGCAGCAGCAGCAGCATCTCCAACGGAAACGGAAACCACAGCGGCACGCTCCAATCGATGGGCCTGACGAGGACCAAGCGGATCGTGCTCATGCTCTGCACCGCCCTGGTCTTTGCGGTCCTCCAGCTCCGGGGCGAGCTTCCCATGGAGGAAGCCGACCTGATTCCCGGGGAGGTCGTGCAGAAGAGCACCCACCTGCCCACAGCCGGGACGCCTCCGGACACCGCCGAGCCCGGGGGGAGCGGCGAGACGGGCAAAACGCAGGCCGCAACGGAAGAGACCGTGGCGACGTCTCCCCCGTCCCTGCGGCCGACGCTCCGGCCAACAGTGGCCGAGCCCGTGGCCGTGGCCATGACTTCCACCACGATGATTCCCACGGAGGCAAAAGCGGGGACGAACGCCGAGCCGGTGGCGGCCGTCCCCCCTCCGACCGAGGAACCAAAGACGCCGGCCGCAGAACCCGGTCCGGCGGCCGGCGAGAACGAAAGCGGCCCACAGGCGATCGGCAGCGATCCCGAAACGAGCGGGGGCGGGGGCGACGGAACCGAAACCACGGTCCCGCCCGAACCCAGCGCGCAGAACGCACCGGCCAGCGACGGAACCAGCGAAACAGCGGCAACGATACCCCCTCCGTCGCCGCCACCGACGATAGGTCCCAACCCTAGCGATGGCAACAACAACGGTGGCGGCGAACCCGCGGCAACCACAACCACGACGACGGAGCCGGCAGAAGAACCCACCGGGGAAGAGGCGCGGGATCCGCCCCACAACAACGCGAGCGGCAAGCTGCCGGCGGCGCTTTCGGACGCCCAGCTCTCCCAAGCCGCGAGGAAATTCGCCGAGACCCACTGCGACCTGACCAACCTGAAAGACGGGCAGTGGTACCCCTCGGGCGGGGAGGATTCCTGGAAGCAGCGGGCCCCATACCTGATCGTGGCGGGCGTTTGGAACGCGGGGGTGAACCCGCTGGCCAGGGCCCTCCTCCGGCACCCCCAGGTTGTGTCCTCCAAGCAGGAGGGTTTTTTCTTGCCCAAGCAGTTCCAGAAATACATCGACGTCGTTCCGGCTTCCGGAAACCAAAACCAGAACGCCACCGCCTCCGAGAGCCGGTTCCGCGTCAAGGTCTTTGCCGCGAGGGAGCGCATGTACGCACAGGTGTATAGCAAGTCCAGCTTTCAGGAAAAGGCCGGAAGCGGCGAGGAGGCCCCGCCGGCGGCGGGTGACGCAAACGACAACAACAACGACGGGGACGACGGCGGCAGCAAGCGCGTGGCGATGGACGTGAGCCCCGGGCTTATATTTTACGCGCACAAGACCGCCCACTCGATCCTGTGCACCGCTCCCTGGGTCAAGGTGGTGGTGGTGCTGCGGAACCCGATCGATCGGCTGTACCAGCAGTGGGTCTACAGCACCGAACGCCTCGGGCTGAAGCTGCCACTGGAGGACTGGATGGCCCTGGAAATGAAGGTCCTACAGAAGGTGGGCTTGATCAATCGCGGTGACGAAGCGAATGACGCCGTTTCCGAAAAGGAGGCCTGGAGAAACTACCAGTCGGTCCACAACATGGCCGGGGTCATCGGGAGGAGCCTGTACGTCTTCCAGCTCGAGGAATGGATCGAGGCCTTTGTTGCGGCCGGAAAGAATCCCTCGGAAGAGATCGTTGTTCTAACGACAGAGGAGATCGAGGAAGATCCCTCGGGAAACTACAGCGAGTTGATGCGGTTCCTGGGGTTGTCCGCCTTTGACGGTGCGGTCCAGGGGGGAGACGGGGTTGCCACGGAGCTACAGAAATCCCTGCTCCAGAGGCCTAACGACACCGCCCTGCCCCCCATGAAGGAAGAAACCAGGAACATKCTAAAGCAATTCTTCCAACCGTACAACGAGCGCCTCGCGAAGCTCTTGCGATCGAACGGGTTCGAGGGAGACTGGGACACGCGCTGGAAACAATAAAACGGACCACGGAGCAAGGCCGGCACCGTTGCAGCGACAGCGATCTGTGCGGTCTCTTTGCCCATAAACGAAACGACAATGCACGAGGAAGGATCGCGAGATTCCTTCCAGCGGCTTGCGGTTCGGTCGTGACCTTGCCGGTACATGCCACGCTGCACAAACATCTGTGGAATGGGTATCGAACGCTTAACGAAGCTCAAATGGAGCAACTCTATTGTTGGTAGCGAGATCTTGCCATTCGTTCTGTGTTTTTCGAAGAAAACACCCGTGCCTACGGTTTCTATCCACCACAGTGCTTGGCTGCTTGCAAATTACAACTGCAAATACATCGCAGTCTTCTTTTCCAGAATGCCACTAGTCGGACTGCAAAATAAAGCTGCGAGAGACGATGTATTTTCCTCAAGGAACAGGAGATCCCGTGAACGCAGCAGGCACGAGATACAGGTTTTGAAAAAATAATACCCTTGGCAAGGCGCCACAATAACATTCTGTGGATCAGCAACTTCTATTGTATTTATTGTACAGTATTCTATCACAGCAAAAAAAGCAGGAATCCACTATTCGTTCTGCAAAGGCCCCTCATTTTCGAATTCCAGTACAAAGTCTCTCATAGCCGTCAAGACTGCCTTTGCTTTCGCGTTGTTGCTGGATTCCAATCGTTTGTTGACTAAATGAAACACGAAAAAAAAAACATCCGCATCCGTCCATTGCAGATCAAAGAGAACGACAGCACCAATGAATTGTTGTGACGATAAGACACCATGAGATTTTCAAAGCCAAGAAGGCAAACAAGATACCACAATGCCAAACCCAACAACAGGACGGCCAAAAGGGCTTTGCTAGCATCTGTCTACTAATTCAGTCAAGACAAAATTCCGTGCCATGCCATGGCATCGTTTCGTTGCCGTTGTCGTCACTTGTTTCTTCGATTTTTCTCCCAGCTATGACCCCGGAAACTTACCATTCTTTCTGTACGCTTGATAGCGCTCAGATCTCGACATATCCGGTGTATAAATAGATCCAGATCCCTACGGGGTTTTCGGAGATTTGCAACGATACAAAAAATAAAAAATAGGACGACGAGTTAGCGGATGATAATGCCTACGATTGGCTTCGATTTCAAACACCGCTCCTCACCGAATCAACGCAGATGAATAGTTCTAGACAGCAGAGTCATTTGCATTTTGTTGCTGAATATCCGAGCATTGCAACTCGTCGAAATGATCGATTGATGTTATGCAAGGGTACCTATCTTACCGCCAAAGTTTCCTCTGATTCCAAAGGTTCCAATAAAAAGTCTCGATTTTCTTCCAGGACGGCCCGCATCGCGGCCTTGTTGCCGAGGCTGTTCAAGAGGTCGTCTGTCATGGAACTCATCCGCATCGATCTTAGGTTGACTTGTGCCTGGGCACTACCAGAGGACCGATTCGTCTTGCTTTTCCCTCGGTAGTCTAGCGGATTGAATTTCCCTTGTTCCAGCTGTTGTGAAAACGGTGTCGGTGACTTTGATAGTGGGAGCGACGATGACCAGTCATCGTCGTCATTGTCATCGCCCTGGGTATTGAACAGCACCGTGTTGCCTCGCTCCGCTGTAGACGACGAAGAGGCCAAGTGACAAATTGAAACACGATGATAATGCTGGAACCCTTCCACCGTCGTTGGCACCAAAAGCAAATGGACCATCAAAGACGCGGCAGTTTTCAAATTGAGTGCAGACATGGCAAATCTATTGATAGAGATCGACAGAAAAAACCTGATGTAGTGCCGATGATGGGTTGACAGATGATACCACTTTACTGCTGGGAGGAGTAAAAGATTTTTGTACCGGTAGCTACGGGATGTTTGTACAATATTTTTCATGGTTGAAGCGTTTCTCGTTCGGATTTCGGTGATTGATGATGTCACGTCGTTTGTAATGGCAATTTGTACTTCTAGTTGTGATCTGTAACATACGATACTGGACTGCGCTACGTACTCTTACTAATATCTCGTACGGTACAAGATACAACATCATACCAAAAAAACGCATTACAGTACGAAAATGCGATACTTCGAAGAAATCCGACTCATTCGACCATCCTTCACGATTTCCCATTTTTAGGAAAGTTTTGAATCGATGGTTTCATACTGATCAGTAAGAGGTACGGTACATATGTACATAGTCTGCCGTAGGATGAACACAACGTACGACAGGCAAACAACATACGGTACGTAGTGGCACTGGTACATCCTGGACATCCTATTACACAGTCTATGTGATGGATTCATGACCAATACAATTGAATTTCTGTACGAGTTCGTACGGTACGGTACCATACGATGAGGTTGTAACGGTAGTATTCGAACCGAGCACGGAAAGAAGAAAATACATAAAAAACATTGACGGAACAATGGAAGATTTCAACAGGAAGGAGAACGGAGATGACAAGCAATATGATGGAATCTGGATAGGCATTGATCTTGGCACAAGCAATTCTACATGTGCCGTTTGGGACTCCTCGCGAGGAGGTGCCAAGTGGTGCGTACCAAATAACAATAAATAACGACGACATCGTGGAATTTCCCCTCGCATTCTATCCTCTGCGAACACAAGTACTCGTTTCTGGAACTCCGGTTATCATGTCCAGGATGGTTTTCGTTCTGTTTACATTCTAATGACTATTCGTTTTTCTCAGGGTTCGTTTGCCGGATATCACAGAATCGACTAGTTCGAAAGCAGGACGAATCATGCCATCTATCGTTCGCTTCCCAAATGGATGCGACGATCCTCTAGTTGGGTTTCCTGCCTTGCTGAAAACTTCGGTGGCGGAAAATAGCGGTGATAGTACAAAGTGTGGGAAGAGCAGTGTCCTGCGGAGTGTGAAACGGCTATTGGGGAAACGATATGATGATCTCGACCCGTCATGGCTCGAAACCCTTGATTTTGATGTTCGCAATCCATCCGAGTATGGCGACAACGATGACCGTGACCAAAGCCTCCAATTGATACCGAGGGTGGGCAAATCATTCGAAAGCGAAACAATTGCGATAACACCCCAGGATGTGTTGGCCCTTGAGCTGAAGGCTATTCGAACGGCATGCCAATCGTATCTGGATAAGTACAGGCTATCGAAAAGTCTCAAAGTTCCCGGGGGAGGAGAGGACGAAACGACCAATTATACAGTGGACAACGTCGTGGTAGGTGTACCTGCCCATTTTTCTCATCGCCACATCGGTCTGGTGAAAGAAGCGTGCCGCGAGGCTGGCTTTCATGGATACGTGGGAACGTGTTTGGAATCAACGGCAGCGGCCATAGCCTATGGATTGACATTGCAGGAACGAGGCAAGGGGTGGACCCCGGGTTCCGATTCCTCGGCTTCCATGAAAATCAATTCAACAAACAGAAAAGGAGGTCCTACTTTCATGGTAGTAGACATGGGAGGAGGAACAACTGATATAACAATCGCGATCCGCAGAGAGAAGCTACAACAATACGCCAAAAGCTCTCCGAGTCTAGACGAAGATGAAGGTGCAAGCAGTGAAAACAACCCCTCGTCATCGTTCCGGGTATTGGTAACCGAAGGGGATGATGGTTTAGGCGGAGATGATATTGATGAAGCCATAATGGAGTATTATCTGGGTCAAGTTGTTTCAAAAGAACGTTCGAACGATAACCAAAATAAAAGAGAGATGAACAAGACTAGGAGTGACTCATTGAAATTAGCCTGTCGTAAGGCCAAGGAATCGTTGTGTAGCTTGGAGGACCCGAGTCCCTCCGTAACGGTTGGAACGGAAGGTCAAGAGGTTGAAATATCCAGAGAAGTATTCGATACGATAATCCTTGAGCCATGGTTGCGGAGGGCTCGCGATTTAATAATGAAAGCCTTAGATTGTCTAAAGAAGGCTCCCACAATGCCAGGAGTCACCGTCGATGAAGTAATTTTGGTGGGAGGTACCACTCGGATTCGCGCAATACGACACATGATACAAAATATTTTTCCACAAATTGAGCTATCCTTGTCATTGAATCCAATGTCAAGCGTTTCCCAAGGATTGGCTATTCAAGCCGCCATTCTTTCCAAACAGATTCCTATTCACGAGCTCAAATCGGCTATGATGTTGGATTGTGTTCCCCATGCTATCGGTGTCCAACTGCAACCCAATGGAGGATTTGTAGAGATCATTCCCCGTAATGCACTCCTGCCAGCGGTCGGTTCCGCGACGTTTGTTCTTGCGGACAAATACCAAGCCGGCGTAAGTATCCGAGCTGTGGAAGAAGTAGGTCCCGATACGTATGAATTAATGAGTAAGGAGGACTTTTCATTTGTTCTTCGAAAATTGTCCAGTGCACAATTTGAAAACATTTCGGAACGAAAGATACAAGTCGGAATGAAACTTGATAATGATGGCAGGTTTATAGTTTCTATTTTCGATGAAAATGACCCGGAACAAGTTCGAAAGAGAGACCGGTTTGAAAGGATCCAACAGGGCGAAGAGATAGTCGGAGAACTAGATTATATAAAGGACATGATCCTAGCGGATTCTGATGGAATCACGAACGAACAAATCACACTCGTCGTAGCCTTGATAAGTGTATTTGTGCTTTACGTTGCCGTCAAAATGGCATTTGCAGATCCTTTAGAACACGGCAACGCTATTTTGGGATAAATTGAAAAATCATAGAACTGGGTTTCAATCAAAAGAATGTGAGGCACAATTGATAAACTAGAACAAATACGTAGGAGTACTCGTACGTACCAAAAATCTAACGTTTAGTAGATATTGGGTGATTCCTGTTAATAGAATGCTAAATTAGCATTTTTAGCAATTTATAATATCAGGAATCAAAATTTCAAGGGACAGATGGCAAGGAAGGCAGGCCTCATCTCAGTCTTTTTGAGAATCTGGAATCTTAAATAGTTTGTAAGGACTAAAAAGAGGTCTGGGTAGGTACCGGTAGGCCTTTCTGTTGAATCTTACAAAATTTTTATTCTTGGGTTCTATCATAGATCTAGCACATTTAGAAAGGGGTCGAAAGACCCATTCAAAAAATGCTAAAATCTATCAACATGTAAAAGATTTTTGGTCTGTGTGTCTATCAAATATAGCATTTCTATTAACGGGAATCACCCATTGCTTTTCTGTACAGTACTGTGTGGATACGTACGGTACGGTACTTCAAAGTTGAATACACTATTTCTATTCGCTTCGATCACCGATCACCTATCACCTCCTCTGATGAACTACGAGTACGTACGCTACGAGTGCTCACGTACCGACCAGAAGGTATTGTACCGTACGGTACGTTGAATTGAAAAAAATGATTGATAGAAAACAAGAAAATCAAGATCTTAAAAACCAATAGAACTAATCCTGATTGGTTCGCAATACACTGGCTCTGTACTTAACGAAATGTTCCTGTAGTGAACGATATCACAAGTACCAGAAAGTACGAATCCTCATCCTACCGTACCGTAACGTAACTAGAGCTACTAAGTACGGGCCCCATAACGGCAAGTTATTGGCAATTTCCGTACGTCAATTTTTTCTCATTTTCCCGTCTCTATTTCCCCTCTCCCCCCATCCACACAAAAAACTATCAAGTCCGCAAATATTTTTATTCCTGGTCCTTACTAGTGGGAATATCAAATCAGTGCTTATCTCGAATATTAAGGACCACCAATAGAAATATTTTGGGACTAGCGAGAAATTAAACAATGGAAATATTTTTATTTTCGTCCATTGGATGCCTTTTTTAACTGGTTTTAACTGTAAAAATGAGCTAAAAATTTCTATTAGTATTTGTACGGGGATTGCCAATAACTTGCCATTATGGGGCCCGTACTTAGTAGCTCTAAACGTAACGTCGCGTCCGTCCGCTCCGGTTACGGCAGGGGKCATAATTTAGACCCCTGCGGTACGGTACGGTATCAGAAAATGATAGAAGTAACAACGCATGTGTACCTTATCGTACCCTATTTAGTAGAAAACTTGGCGAAACGCGATCAATAATTACACAACTCAACTCTGGTCAGCGATCTAAATATTCATAAACTATTACTGAAATTATAACGTTTGCCAGTATTTGTATCTTGCCAACGAGGTATTCCTAAACACAAACTTACATATATTTTTTGATACTGAAGAGGAGGCCGAGCTAGAATCAATCATTACCATCTATCTTCCCTAAAGGTCATCAATTTGCCGTGTAAAATGATTCAAGTCCACAATCCGAAGCACTGTGAAAATTAATTCAAATCGAAGCAAATGCATAACGAACGAAAGATTCACATTGCAGAACTTCTTCGTAGGGCTTCGCGACCATCTAAGATAAACAATGCCTTCCCGTACCAACGTTTACCGGTGCAATGGCAGTAATCCTCAGCAACAATTGCACAGGCAGGCAGAGATCAAAGAGGAACTGCAGAAGCTGGAATCTGTCGTCGGAACTTTGTTCGAGCTTCAAGGATCCCAGAAGAATGATTCGAAAAGATCGTTTAGTTTTCGAAAGATCTTTCCCCGTCGGGCTCCCAAGAAAGATGTCACCTCTGATAGTGAAGACTTCATGGCAAGAATCAAAGAACTCGAGGAATTATGCCAAAATTTGAGCAGCGATGGCAATGAGTTCTTCGATCGAACTACGAGAGTCAAAAAACTTACACAAGAATCAAGAGATGAGAAAGATTTTTTTTCAATAGATAGAAATGAAGCTACATCACGTACCATTCAGACTTGTAGAGACATCTTATCGAAACTATCAACTGAAGCCGACCTTGAGAATAGCGAAAGCGCTGAGTCGTCTTCTGATGATAACGAGACAAGTAAGTGGGCAATAATAGAAACTATTGAGAATGTCTTAGCATTTTTCACCGGACAAGAGTGCATGATCGACGAAAGCATGACCTTTAATACCACGCAAGAAAGAGCAATCGGAGAAAGCACGACCTATCTCACCACTCAAGAAAGCACGGATGAGATATTTCATGATCACTTTTGTGGTTTATTTGAGACATGGTGTCTAGCAAAAAATGAGGAAGGAAATGAATCAGAAAACAAGCCTGAAACACAAGAAGAGTCACCGGCAAATTCAAATACAACGGCAAAGATTGTTGATACTCATGACCAAGTCACTCGGACGGAGAAAGATCAAATTGCTTTGTTTGATCAAGAATCGGATCAGATTGAAGGTAAGACAATCGATCAAACAAAATTGGATTCGGAAAAGGATAATGAGATCTTGGCAATCCAATTGGATAGCAACTTTTTCGATGCTTTCAGTTCGTTGATATCAACCAACAGCATAGTGGTAGGAGAAGGTAAAGAGAGATTTGATAAACATGAATCGGCAACAGCAATGGCAATCAATGAAGCGTCAGAAACAAAAGAATGTGATCCAGATCAAACGGATGAGAGCGTGAAACAGGATGATGAAATTGGAGAAGACGAGGACAAAGATCTTGGAAATTATGAAAAGGGAGATCCTATTGCAGAAACAGCCTTCGATTGCAGTATTCTCGAGCACATTTTCTCCTCTACAAATTCAACAACTGAAGCGAACGAAATCGTAGGAACTCCAGGCATCGTGGCCTCGGATGAAACAGCATGCAATAATGTGACCGGTGCTATTGAGCCAAAGAAATTGTCCATTATTGAGTTACCAGAACTGCAGTCGGCTTTGTCATTAGCCAATATCCCGAGGTTTGAAGTTGTTGGGTTCAAAGCAACAAGTGAGCGGGACCGAGACACCGAAATCGAACCTGGAAACAAGAAACGTGAGGGATTGACCCCAAAAGTCTCGAATCGTGAGAGACGACAAAAAGCTCGAAAAGGTGACATGGCCAAGGCAAAGCCAAGCAAATCATCGAAGTTAGGTAAACCTAACCAAAAAATCAATTCTTTTAAAATGGCGAAGAGCAGAAAGAATCAAGGAAAAAATATGTCGACAAAGAAAGTCAAACAACGAAAGATGATGCGGTTATTCGTGCGAAAGCTCAACCAAGGAATAACTCATGACTCGTCAAAAACTAAGGAAAAGAATGAAACAACGAAAATTGATATGAATCGAGGTGCCCCGGAAACATCAAACGTCCAATCTGAGAAAGAAGTTAATTTAAGCGTAGAAGCCCAAGAGCAGACCGAAAAGGATACTTCGAAAAACTCTAAATCAGAAAAAGTTTCTCGAAAAAAATCAGACGTTGTTTGCCGGCCTTCAACAGACGCAGCGGCGTGTGATCCATCTTCTATTGATATTAGTTCTTCATCCGTAAGAATCTTGACGGCGAACAAGGAGAAGGACCACAATGGTGAAGAAAACAGAGATGAGAATTGCGGTGACAAAGAGGAGTCCGATGGCGATGTCAATTGCGACTTCGATGCCGATGGTGATTTAATCGTCGCTGATGACGAAGACAGTGCAGAAAGACAAAAGTACGACTTGTTTAAGAGCTTTCTTGCAGCATTACAGAGCAAGGAAAGAGATCCTGATGATGATGAGATTGTCGAATGCTTTTCTCCTGTACTGAGTATGGGGGATTCGTACGACAGCGGACTCGTCAGTGAAAAAGATGATGATGAATACATCAACCACTATTACGACTTCAGCGGAGACAACGAAAATTGCAGTGAAGACGAGTTCGACGAGCAAGAAGGTTCATATGATGACTTTTTTTATGCCAACGATGATGATAGCTTTGTAAACGCTCTACAAGCCATCAGTCGAGATGAAGCCACGATGTCTCGCCTGAAGACGGTTCTCGATAAGAGTCGAGCAAAGAAACCAGATACAAATATCAAACTAGAGAAAGAAGAAGTGACTGAAGAAAGGAATGATGACACAGCAGTTACTACACCAGTGACTGGAACAAGAACCGAAGCTCCAGTGACCAATAAGAGGGAAAAGGCTGTGTCTGCTTTTCCAAAGAGACAAAGCCGTCTTCAAAAGCAGAATCAAGAAAAGAATACCATTCCAACGGACGATGAACTTTTCACCTTGTGAATAGAATTTAGATGGAAGCAGAGATAACTTGACGAAACGTACCTTTGCTTTCTACCAATGTATGTTGATTTGACAAGAACTAAGATTGTTTTAGATAATTACATGAATTATAAATCTCTGGATCGCCCTAGCTCTTCTTAGCTTTTGTGCCAACGAGTCTCGTGTGGGAGCGGGGGTCGAGGTTTCGTCACTGCATTCGTACTTGGAAATGCTTTTATTTCCCTTGGTCAAAAGTTACTGACCAAGAATCAATGTTCTCTAAATTTAAATAAACACTGTTCTCGTTGTTTCTCTCTACCTCCTCAGGTCGTATTTTTTGCCCTTTCTGTGCTTCCTGCACTGGCTATCCCATCCAAAATGTGTGTGTTATGAAGTTTTTTGCTAGAGCTCAATAGTATGTGTCCCATTTATTTTTACCTAAGGTTTTTGACTGCTGAATAGTATAAGCAATGATTGTGTGGTGTAGAAATCTGTAGAATTAGTACTAGTTTCCCATTGAAGATGAAGTTTTAGAGGCCATCATAGAGGTCAACCTTGAAACTACGTTCAGTACGGACCCAGTTCCAGATAGCTTGGACGTCAGTGCGGCAAGGTGGGGAGGGACTATCAACGGTGCTATCACTGCTTGCAGACACAACGCGCAGACATTGGCGAGGAAAAATTACAAGGGTAAGCAAAACAAATGCAAGTATATGCACGTTACCGGACATAATTAAAGTTTTTGTGACTCACAATCAACGATCATTATTTGTTAAGTACAGAAGACAAAAAAAAACAGGAAGTACCAGACACGTTCGGCGGCAACTGCCTCATAGCGGAAGGAGATGAAGGAGAGACTTACATCCTGAGAAGTAGCTACAGACGAGGAAATAGTCTGGAATTCAGGTACTTCGTAACAAGGATTCTAGGGGATGTGTCCCCAAAACAAACGGAATTCAAGAGAAGATGACACAAAGATAAACTGAGCTCCATTGTCACCCCGACAGACAAGGCTTTCGCACTCCTGTTTTTACAACGACTACAAATCATGAAATAATTCTGGGAGTGGAAAGAAAACTAGAAAGTGATTCACAGATAGTAGGATAGGTAACAAAGAAGGCTGGAGCTACGAGGGACATATGCTGTTTGGAAAGATAGTAGAAGAGGTAAGGAAGCAAAGAGAGGAAGATGCTTCCGCGGAGATTGAACAGTCACTAAGGGCGGCGTACAGAAGAGAAAACAGAGACAACAGGGAGGATAGAATTAATAAAAAAAGAAAGTTGCGCGAAATGGAGAAAAATTTTGATCAGAAAAAATACTGGGAGGACAATGATGACTTAAATGAACTGAGGTCAAAGATACGGGCTGTATGAAAACCCAAACAGTACTAATTATAACACAACTTAGTGGATACGAAAATAATGACAAATAGCGGCACGAAACGTTTACTTCTACATCTTTACCAATTAGATGGAATTGCGTCACAGTTAAATATATTTTGCGCTAGAAATACAGGAGTTGCCGATGGGCGGCCAAGAGTTGGCATCACAGAGAAGGAATTGAATACCGCCCAGAAGAATAGATAAAGTCAAACAAATATTTTCATGACAATACACGGTACTTTTAAAATGGTTGAGACAAATTGTCTCCAAATATGAAAATAAATTTCAGGAAAAAAGAATTGAAACTGAGCATGAGAAAGGGCATCAAACTCCACATGAGAAATGAGTGGTGCAAGAACATGTTTCAAGGAAAACGGCCAGATATTTGCGTACGAGCATTACAAAATACACGCGCAAATTTAATTTTATGAACGCGGGGGGAAAAATACCGTAGTAACTGTTTGTGTGACGTACTAGATACAGGAAGTACATGAGGATGAATCATGCAGGCATGTCCAGCCCAAAATACAACGGTAAATAAAACCACAATGGTAGTGATCACATCTTTTGAAAAAGAATGACCAACATAAAAAGAAAGTGATCCATTCTGCTGAAAAGATTTACAATTTCATGATGAAATATTGAATGCTGGTTATTGTGAAAGCACCACAGTCCTTAACTAACCAGTGGAAAACCCTTTCAATTTGCACATTACTTTTTGAACTATTTTCTTTTGTTTGAAGGGAATTTCAACTTGAACAGCACTGATACTAGGACAAATAACACACAAAAAATACTATTTGAAAGAGATCAGTGTGAACAAGATGAAGCAATATTCCAAATTCCCAAAATTGGGCTTCTTTCAGCTACAAAGGGGGTGCTTATTGTAGTCCATGTTCTCTGGTTAGTAGGAGGAGGGGAAAGTTCTTACAATTGTTTTGCTAGTACTACTAGCCCACTTTCTGGTGTTCATCAGCAAATATGAATCTCATGCTAGGAGGAGTGCTTGGGAGCCACAATGCTATTATATTACACATGTACTGGAATACATCATGGCAAGAAAGTAGAAGTGCATACTATTATTAACACCACCACTATTAGTAGTACTAGTAGGACTATGAGTAGATTTCTGTGCTACTAGTACTACTACTAGTGCTGTCTGTACTAGGATATCAGATTGTGGGTATGATTCAAAATAAAATCTTAATATTATATTTTACTTCGTGAACTAGTAGAGGCACTATATGGCCAGAACCATTCCTACACCTGAAGGGAGAATTAACCCCTAACCTCAGCACCTATTACTGGGCTGCTACCATCTAAATCATAGGACGAATCCTCATTTTTGGATTGTGGGTATGATTCATATCTATGACACATACATATGACACATATGTATGAGTCATAGTAGACACTCTACATTCACGACTCATTCACTCCTATGGATCCACACAATTACTAGTAGTAGTAGTAGCCTGGGCTGTTACTACTAATAGTACTAGTACTACTACTACTACTATCAACTCAAAGCAACATCATAGTACTACTACTAGAATTAGAACAACCCCAACCCCATTCTGCCCATACTAGCCAGCAACAATGATGTGGCCACTGCTTCAGAAAGGAAGAAAGAATGTTGAAAAGAAACATTGGTTGGACACAAACATTACTGCTAGTAACAGGCAATGAGGAATATTTGGTTATAAGCCTTACCCCCATCACCACATACCAGGGGGACTATCCACAAGATGTTGGTGGTGGTATGCATCAAAAGATAAGAAATGCAATCATTCTACTAGTATCCATTGCCTCCTTTCTACTAGTAGCAGCAAGATGTTCTTTTAAGACCACGTTGATCTGCTGTGAAGATAATGAATACAAATGTACATAAAACTACTAGTAGTATGAGCAGACAATCATGAGGTGGTGCTACTAGATCCTAGCACAAAACTTGCCGAAGACAATGATGCAAGAAGTGGTTGATACACAATGGTTCACAAGAATTACTATTGATAGTTCTTAGTTCAGTCAATAAGTAGTCATGGTGACATTGTTTACCAGGGGAAATGCTACTAGGTACTAGTAGTAGGTGTCAAATAGATGAAAGCTCTCCACCAGGGCAATTGAGCAAATGAAAAGCAAGCAAAAAAAGGGAGTGGAAGAAGGACATCAGACTTCTTGCTTAGAATGATAGTAGTAGTAGTACTAGTAGTAGTATGTGAGGATGCTAAACATTCATGCGGGGAACAATTCCTCACCCCCCTCAGAGTTTCCATGTCTGAAGTTCCTAGTGGTGTATAGTAGACTGCAGTACAAATCCTGTATCGTATAGAGTTAGCCAGCAAATGTACGATAATATCTTACCTCTTGGGCCATCTAGTAATTACCGTGTAATGACTCGTGGGATTAAAAAATTGGCTTGTACTGGAGTTTACAGCCAGCACGTGCTGAATTTTTGAATCTCACATTCGTGCGACCAAATAGTTTTGTTCGCACGTGCTCAACCAACAATTTTGGCTTCAAACACATGCAAATTTTTAATCCCACGAGTCATTACACAGTAAAAAGATGGCCCAAAATTGAGGCACAGTACAAAAAACACATAGGGCAATAAGAGAGGTTCAACTCACTCGAATAGCTATAACTTTTCGCCCAACGGACGCTTAAGTATGGTAAGCACATGGTTGAAAAGATAATTGAAAGAGCTTTGTAATGCCGTGTGGGAGTATGGCGTCCGACGAATATTCATTGATATACATGTACAAATATATGATATTCAAAAATGTACGATAATTTCAGCAGGAAACGCGTGGCCCATGCTATACGACAGAAACACGATTGAAAAAAAAGGAAAATCAAACCATAATCATGTAATGATGACCCTCCTCCTGCTGTTCTTGCTGGCAGAAGGAGTCCCTCCAGAGATGATATTCACTGTTTACAGTGGTGACACTACTAATGGTCCTCTTGTGAGCTGATCTGATGACACCCACTCTGATATTTCATTTGATATCATCAAAGAAGTTGCCCTTGTTGATTGTTATCTACCATTTAATCTAATCTTGAGCAAGATGAATTGGAATATCTTCACTGGAATTGAATCCTCTTGAGTCTCACCAAAAAGTTCCTCAAGCTACCCAAGAGAAGTAGATCTTCAGCTGTTACTACTGCTGAAAGAATCATTTGTGATCATCTGAAACAGAAAGAGTGCAACGAGTACATAGGTTTGGTACTGAGGCCTGTCATGTAGGGCCAGTACTGAGGAACACTTCTGAATCATTTGTGAATCCCTGAACCTAGTACTATGGTACAAGAACTACAAGATTAGGATAAATTGTGAGTCCCCGGAACCGGACCTACATATAGGTTTTGGCCAAAACCCTATGTACTAGTAGTATATACTGCATATTACATATGGGATCATCAAGAATTCCTATTCTCAATGACATCACCTTCTAACAGAATAAGAAGAAGCAGAATAGAACTAATGAGTTACCACATGAACAATGAGTTCCGTTCTAAAGCTCCTCACCAGTAGGATCACTACCAAGACCTACAAGAGACAGGAACTACAGAAAGTAGTTCCCAATCAACTAGAACACGGGAAACCGTGTTGAAAGAGATCTATATATCTATATCATCTAGTTCATTATAGTAATTCACCTTTAAACAACATTCTAATTCATCAGTACACATTATTTTGTGCAAATAAATTATAGGATTTCTCTCAAAAGAATGGTTTCATATCTCCTCTATTACCCACTATT